GACACATAACTGTAATCCTAGATACAAAGGAGGCAGAAATTAGGAGAATTGTGGTTTAAGATCAATCCATCTAGGCATCTACCCTGAACAACAGGAACCAATATACAAGGACACATGCACCTCCGTGTTTATTGCAGCACTGTTCACAATAGCTAGGATATGGAAACAACCCAGATGCCCCACCACAGATGAATGGATCCAAAAATTGTGGTATCTATACACATTGGAATATTATGCAGCCATTAGAAATGACAAAATAATGGCATTTGCAGGGAAATGGATGGAGCTAGAAAAAATCAGGTTGAGCGAGGTAAGCCAAGAGCAAAGAGTCAAAAGGTACATGGTCTCCCTGATAAGTGGATGTTAAATCCAAAATGTTAGGTGCTATGACAAAATTAACAGGACTTAAGAAACAAAGAACTTCCACTCATCTGGTCGAACCACTACTAAATATCCCCATGCTGCTGGTCACATGTATGGTGCATATGTGTACACCGATATATGTTATAGACCGTGATAGACAATTTGCTCCAGGAAAGTTAGAATGAGCTTATGGCTTTAAATGAGCATCATTACTCCACAATACTGTGAAATTTGGGAAATTATGTAATCACTTACTCACAATTTAAAAAAAAAAGCATCAGAAAACTGGAAGTGACACGATGGCTCATGTGGTAGAGCATGAGCCTTGAGCTGAATTGTTCAGGGACAGCTCCCAGGCCTAGAGCTCAAGCCCCACGACTAACAAAAAAAGAGAGAGAGAGAGAGAGAGAGAGAGAGAGATCTTTCATGCAATTGTTTCTAACATATTTAAAAGATTATATCTTTGTTGCCTTGTATGTCCCTCCCCCATGGTACAACCCTTGCTTTCACTATATATGATGTTGGTATATGTGGAGGGGAAGGGAAAAAACAAATTGTAAAAGCAGGGATACAGGAGGACCCATTGCAACAATGAGATGTACAAGTCGTTACGTCGAAAAACGAACTTTACAATTTTGGTGGGGGAAGACGGGGGGGGGGGGGGGGGGGGGGGGGAGGGGGGAGGAGAAGATACGAAGGGACGGGAAGGGGAAAAGCAGGAGGCTACAATGTAGATAAGAAATGTGCTCATTATCTTACCCACATAATTGTAACCCCTCTGTACAATATTTTCACAATAAAAATATATTAAAAAAAAAAAGATCAATCCAGGCAAAGAGTTGAAACTCCTAAATCAACAAGCTAAGGGTTGTAGCATACCTATAATTTCTACTACATGGAAGACTCAGGTAGGAGGATTGTGGTCCAATGCTAGCTCCAGGATAGACCCTATCCAAAAATAACTAAGGCTAAAAAGGGGCAGGAGGTGTGGCTCAAGTGGAGTTTTGCTCCTGTCTAGTTAAGCATAAGGCCGTGAATTCAAAAGCCTTGAACCACAGAAAGTGTATAAAGCTGGGCACCAGTAGCTCACACCTATAATCAGCTACTCAGGAGGCTGACATTTGAGGATTACCATTCAAAGCTAGCCTGGGCAGGAAAGTTCATGGGACTCTAATCTCCAATTAACTACCAGAAAACCAGAAGTGGTGCTGTGACTCAAGTGGTAGAGCACTCTCCTTGATCTGAAGAGCTCAGTGGCAGCTCCCAGGCCCAGAGTTCAAGCCCCATGACCACCCCCCCAAAAAAGTATATAAAATATACAACTTCATATTTTGATATATGTGTACGGTGTGAAATTATTCCCACCATCAAAATAATGAACATGCCCACCTTGTGAAGTTATTGATTTTGTATATATGATAGGAATGCCAAAGATCAATTCTCTTAGCAAGTGAATAATGCAAATATAATTAATTGTAGCTGTATCTGTACAGTAGGTGTCCAAGACTTAGCATCTTGGATACCTAACTTTGTAATCCGTTCACCATCATCTCTGATTCTCCCCACCTGCAAACCCTGACGATCACCATTCTACTCTGCTTCTATGAATGTAGGATTTTTTTTTTAGTTCCCACAGGAGGGAGATTGTGCAGTATTGTCTTCTTGTGCCTGACTCATTTCTCATCTTCTAAAGGGTCATTTAAAAAACAGGCTAAGGATGCCAGGCTAGCTTTATAGCTAACCTTTAGCCTTTAACTATTTAGGAGGCTCAAATCTGATAATCATGGTTTGAAGCCAGCCTGGGAAGGAAAGTTCACAAGACTCTTATCTCCAATTAACTACCAAAAAAGCTGAATGTGGACAGGTGCCAGTGGCTCAAGCCTGTAATCCTAGCTACTCAAGAAGCTGAGATCTGAGGATTGTGGTTCAAAGCCAGCTAGAGCAGTTAAGTCCATGAGACTCTTATCGCCAAGTAACCACGAGAAAACCAGAAGTGATGCTATGGCTCAAAGTGGTAGAATGAGCAAAAGAGCTCAGGGAGCTGGGCACTGGTGGCTCACACTTGTAATTCTAGCTACTCAGGAGGCTGAGATCTGAGGATCATGGTTCAAAGCCAGTCCAGGCAGGAAAGTGAGGATAAGTGAGTCCCTTATCTTCAATTAACCACCAGAAAACCAGAAGTGGTGCTGTGGCTCAAGTGCAAGAGCATTTGCCTTGAGCTGAAGAGCTGAGGGATAGCACCCAGACTCACAACTGATTAAAAAAAAAGAGCTCAGGGACAGACCTAAGCCCTGAGTTCAAGCCCTATGACTAACCAGAATAAAAACTGAATGTGGTACTATGGCTAAAGTGGTAGAGCATCAACCTAGAGTAAAAACTTCAAGGACAGTACCCAGGCCGGAATTCAAGCCTCAAGACTGGCAAAGGAAGGAGAGGAGGAGGAGGAGGAGGAGGAGGAGGAGGAGGAGGAGGAGGAGGAGGAGGAGGAGGAGGAGGAGGAGGAAGAGGAGGAGGGGAGGAGGAGCAGGAGCAGGAGCAGGAGGAAAATAGAAATAGTAGCAGCTAAAGACCCTGAAAAGGTATTTCTAAAAGAGACATACAAATGGCTAACAGGTATATATGCTTTTTAAAAAGTGCACAACATCACTGATCATTAGCGAAATGCAAATCAAAACCACAATGAGCTATCACCTACCATCTGTTAGAATGGCTATCACCATACAAAAGATAGCAAGTTGTTGATGAGAATGTGGAAATGTGATGTGATCAGAATCCCTGCTGTTGGTGGGAATGAGTTGTTTTAGCCATTATAGAAAGCATTACAGAAAATAATTTTAAAAATTAAAATACAACTCCCATATGATCAAGAAACCCCGTATCTGCATATAGATCCAAAGGAAATGAAAGCAGCACCTTGAAGAGAAACTGATTACACTTTCATGTTCATTGCAATGTCATTCACAAACAGAAACAGCCTAAGTATTCCAAGAACAAAGAAATGGATTTATAAAACTAAACTCTCTCTCTCTTTCACACACACACACACACACACACACACACACACACACACACACACACACACGCACACACAAGTAATAATGTTTAGCCTTAAAAACAGAAGGGTAGCTACTCAGAAGGCTGGGATCTAAGAATCCTGGTTCGAAGCCTACCATGGTAGAAAGGCTATGAGGCTCTTATATCCAATTAACCAGCAAACCAAAGCAAACAAGCAAACAAAAAAACCTGAAATGGGGATGTGGCTCAAGTGGTAGAGCATTAGCCTTGAGAAGAAAAAGCCAAAGGAGAGCTGGAAGCCCTGAGTACAAGCCCCTGTAATAATAATTAATATTAATAATTAATAATAATATTAATTAGCTTATAATTATAATATATTATATTATATTAATAATAATAATTAAAAGCAAAACAAAGCAACAACAACAACAAAAAGAAGAGTGAGCTTGGAGGAGATTGTGCTAAGTAACAGAAGCCAGATTTTTTTTTTTTTAATTTGGTCCAGTCATGGGGCCTGAACTCTGGGCTTGGACGCTATCCCTCAGCTCTTCAGCTCAAGTCTAGCACTCTACCATTTGGGCCACAGCGCCACTTCCGGCTTTTTTTTTTTTTTTGCTTATGTGGTGCTGGGGAATTGAACCCAGGGCCTCATGCATGCAAGGCAAGTGCTCTACCACTGAGCCACCTTCCCAGCCCCCAGAAGCCAGATTTTATGTTCACAGGATGACCACTGAGCTGCTGATGGGCTCTATCTCCCCTTCTGCCTGTTTTCTCTCCCAAACAAGCTGCCTGTGCTAGAGCTCTCACACTTTTGAGGATTAGGAAAATTAGCCCTTAGAATAATCTTGTCTAAATCGGGCCTCCAGAACCAGCATCAGCATCCCTCGGAGCTTGCGGGAAGCACAGAATCTGAACACTACCCCAGACCTCAGACCAGAATCTGGACTTGACCAGGATCCCTTGGGATTGATACACAGCCAAGATGGACAAGTGATGTATAGGAAATAAAAATTAAGATTACCCGTTGCCCTGTACTTATTTTAATTGAACCAAAGTGTATTGCAGGTATTGTCTTTTGCACTCTGATTAAAAAATTACCAGCCATTTCTGTACCTGATTATAATGGTTGGTGTTGTATATGTATGTGTGTAACCTGAACTGGGGCTTGAATTTAGGGCCTTAGCTTTTATTTGCTTAAGGCTGACACTCGTACCCCTTGAGCCACAACTCCACTTCTGGCTTTTCTGGGGAATAAGAATCTTATGGATGGGCTGGGAAGGTGGCTCAGTGGTAGAGTGCTTGCCTTGCATGCCCGAGGCCCTGGGTTCAATTCCTCAGCACCACATAAGCAAAAAGAAAAAAGCCGGAAGTGGCTCTGTGGCTCAAGTGGTAGAGCGCTAGCCTTGAGCTGAAGAGCTGAGGGACAGTGCCCAGGCCCAGAGTTCAAGCCCCACAACCGGACCCAAAAAAAAAAAAAAAAAAGAATCTTATGGACTTTCCTGCCCCAGGGTGGCTTTGGGCTGTGATCTTCAGATCTTGGCCACCTGAGTAGCTAGGAGTCCAGGCTGTGAGTTACCAGAGCATGGTTTATAATTTTTTTCTTTTTTAAATCTCTCTTTTAGGACATGTTCCAGCAGGTCTCAAATGCCATCCAGACCAGGAGCATCTGATTTACCCCTTGGGCTGCACTGTCCTCATCCAGGCCATAAATACTAATGAGCAGAAGTTCCTCCATGGCCATGGCAACAATGTTTCTTGTATGACCATCTCCAAGAGTGGAAATTACATTGCTTCAGGCCAAGTCACTTTCATGGGCTTCAAGGTAAATGGAGTGAACATAGTTCATTGTTAAGTTTCTTTTTAGATGCTTTCCCAGAAGACCAGTGGCACCCCAGGATCTTAGCTTGGAGGCTATTGTGTTTTACCCTTCCTCCTCACCCTTTGATTTCTAAGTCATTTCTACTTCTATTGGCTGCTGGTGAGGAATCTGCTGTGTTTTATACTACACTGAAGCTTGGGACTGATAATATCTAAGAATAAAAGACTGTCTTTGTTGCTGTTTGTCATGTTTGTAGTACATAGGAGAGCCACTATTTTTGGAGCTATTATTCTGCTTATATGAAAGCTTATCAGTCATCTGACCATGTTTGTGTGTGTGCACGCGTGTGCACACCTGAGACTTGAACTCAGGGTCTAGGTGCTGTCTCTTAGCATTTTTACTCAAGTTTAGTGTTGTACTTGAGCCACAGCTCCATTTCTGGCTTTTTTGCTGGTTAAGAGATAAGAGTCTCATGGACTTTCCTTTCTAGACTGGGTTGGAACAGTGATCCTTAGATCCCAGCCTCCTGAATAGTTAGGATTCTAGGTGTAAACAGCAGCACCTCATCTGACAGTAGATTCTCGTTCCCAGGCAGATATTATCCTGTGGGATTATAAGAAGAATGAACTGATAGCTCGGCTGTCCCTTCACAAGGGCAAAATTGAAGCTCTTGCCTTTTCACCTAATGAGCTGTACTTGGTATCACTTGGAGGCCCAGATGATGGAAGGTAAGAAATTAAATCTGTTTAGCGTATTTCCAGAAGTGTCAGGTATCCTGGTCCCTCTAATGCCCTCTTTTGGCGTGGCTGTATTTGAGTGTGCAGTTCATGAAATGCCTATGAGAAAAGTACCACAAAAAAAGTGAGTGTCAGCCTGGCAATCTTCTAAGCTACTATTGATGCCTGGAGCCACCTTCAGTGTCTGATTTGATTGGCTTGGACTCTTGGACTTATAAAAGCTTCCCAGGTAATTCTAACCTATAGCTAAATTCAAGAACTGTTGTTCTAAAAGAAAGGATGATGAAGCCAATGGTGGTCATTTTCTAGCATTTCTAGAGCACTTGCTATGGGACAGCAATTGAACTGAGCATGATCACATGTCATGTCCTTTAAGCCACACAGCTTCTCCTTCAGGAGGAAGATGTTGATATCTAAAGGTGATTGAGGAGCTAAATTCACCAGCTGGTGACAGAGCTTGGTGATAAACCTTGGCAGTGTAATTCCACATTTTTACACTTGCCTTGTCAAGACATGAATGTTGACCTTGAGGGACTCAGTCAAATTTGGTAAGCTAAGAACAAAAACTAATGAATTGAAAGAAAAGTATATTGAAAGCATTATAGAAGCTGGTTGCTATTAGTTCATACCTAGCTGCTCAGGAGAGAGGCTGATTTCTGAAAATGACAGTTCAAAGCCAGTGTGCTCAGAAAAGTCCACATGACCTTTATCTCCAAATAACTAGCAAAGAACAGCTAGACTAGAGGCATGGGTCATGTAGTAGAGTACTACTAGCTTTGAATGAAAAAGCACAGTCAGCTGGGAGTTGGTGGGTCACACCTATAATCCTAGCTACTTAGAAGGCTGAAATCTGAGGATCACTGTTCAAAGCCAGCCCAGGCAGGAAAGTCCGTGAGACTCTTCTCTCTAATAAACCACCAGAAAACCAGACGTGGCACCATGGCTCAAGTGGTGGAGCACTCACCTTGAGCTGAAGAGCTCAGGGACAGCACCCACAACTAGAGTTCAAACCCCACGACCGACCAAAAAAAAAAAGAGAGAGAGAAAGAAAAAGCAGAGTAAGAGTGAGAGGCCCTGAATTCAAGATCCAGTACCCACATCTCCTCCCTGCCAAAAACAAAACAAAACAAAACCCCCAAAATGACAGTTCTATGATGGTGCACTGTTGTACTCTCAGCAATTAGGAGCATGGATTGTGAACTAGTGAGACCATATCTCAAAATGAATAAACAAATAATAAAAGCACTCTATTCGGGGGAAAAAATGCAACACTGCAGTTCAGTACATATTTCTAATATAGATGTTAAAGACACAGTCTATTGAAGAAAAATAGTGTATGAGGTTTGTGTAGCATTTTAAAATTATTGCCATTAATTTTTGTTAATACTAGGGCTTGAACTCTGGGTCTCATGCTGGCTTAGCTTGCTCACTTAACTGGCACTCTGCCTCTTATCCAGCCAGGCCTCTAGGCTGGATTTTTTGTCCCTCTATTACAATCTCCCCTCCCTGCAACACATCACCAAGGAAAACTCTTACAAGAGATGAATGGATGTTAAACTTCCATGTTTACATATTGTAGATGTCTTTATTTTAGCATCCAACTTGACTGACAAGTTCATTGATGTTTAGCCTCTTGTTTTCCTTGGAAGCTTTTAAAACATTTTACTTCCAGTACCATTGTACTTGAAAAGATGGATGTTGGGGGAGCACCAGTGTAATTTTTTTGTTGTTGTTGTTCAGTCGTAGAGCTTGACTCTGGGCCTGGGCACTGTCCCTGGGCTCTTCACCTGAAGGCAAACAGTCTACCACTCTGCCATAGTGCCACTTCCAGTTTCTGATAGTTTATTGGAGATAAGAGTCTCATGAACTTTCCTGCCGGGGCTAGCTTTGAACCATGATCCTCAGATCTCAGCCTTCTGAGTAGCTAGGATTACAGCTATGAGCCACTAGCATCCAGCTAACCAGTGTAATTTTTGTTCCCTTGTTGGTAACTTATTTTGTTTCATTGTTTGTTGTTTTTCTTTTCTGGAGTCACTGATGTCCTTGTTGATTATTTTGAAAGCCTGCATTTTTTGTTTTGTTTTGTTCCATTTGTTTTTCTTCTTGTCTTGACAGTGTGGTGGTGTGGAGCATAGCCAAGAAAGATGCCATCTGCGGCAGTCCAGCAGCTGGCCTCAATGTTGGGAATGCCACCACCATGGTCTTCTCCAGGTGCCGGGATGAAATGTTTGTTACTGCTGGAAAGTACGTCACAATCATCAGTCAGAAATCACAGATAATCTAGCTGTTTGCCCAGAAAACACGGTCATACCAGTTTGGGGACACATGCCTGTAGTCCTGGACCAATACTTTACATCATAATTTTCAGAATGTTTGTAGTCATTCAAATGTTTAGGGGACTGGGAATGTGGTTTAGTGGAAGAGTGCTTGCCTAGCATGCATGAAGCCCTGGGTTCAATTCCTCAGTACCACATAAACAGAAAAATCTGAAGTGGCGCTGTGGCTCAATTGGTTGAGTGCTAGCCTTGAGCAAAAGGAAGCTCAGGAACAGTGCCTAGGCCCTGAGTTCAAGCCCCAGGGCTGTCAACAAACAAATGTTTAGGCATTTTTCACTAAGGTTCTTGGAAAATGCTATGGTTCCTACTGCAAAGTTTCTGTAGATTCACTGAACTCAGGTTCTTTTTTTTGTTACTGAAAACGTGTGATTTCTAGTTTGGGCTTTTCAAGGAATTTGTATAGTTTGCGCAGATTCACTGACTCCTTGGAATTTCTCACTACCTGCTCTTGACTTTAGATGTCATGAAATGCTATTTTGCAAATGAACTGTGCCAGGAAGTTCAAATATTTAAATGATTAACCATATGACATCATTTCTAGTAGGATCGGCTTCAACCAGCTCAGGGTGATCAAGCTGAACCTCAGAACAGAGGCCTATATCCAACTAACAAAATAAATAACTGTCAATTAGATAGCTCCCTGATTGGCATTTGAGGAAAAGGTTACACACACATAAAAGACATAAAAGCGGCTGGTCAAAGGTAATGAGTTATCACACTTGATTGTTTACAGTCAGTTACAGATTGAACTCCTTGTTCTACATTCTTGGGATGCCTAGTGCAGCTCAAGTGGTAGAGCACTTTCCTAGCAAACCCAAAGTCCTTGGGGCTGGGAAGGTGGCTCAGTGGTAGAGCACTTGTCTTGCAATCCCAAAGTCCTGAGTTCAAACCCCACTACTGCCAAAAGGCATAAAAGCATCTTTGTTTCATGTCACATACAGGTTCAAATATAACAGCTTTGAAAATATAAGGTCAAAGTACATGTTTTTTTGGGTTTTTTTTTGGTGTTGGTTCTAGGGCTTGGATCTAGAGCCTCTCATTCTTGCTTGGCTATTTCTGCTTAAAACTGGTGTTCTACCATACCTCCACTTTTACTTTTTGCTGGTTAATTGGAGATAAGAGTCTCATGAACTTTTCTCTGGGGCTGGCTTGGAACAGAGATCCTTAGATCTCAGCCTCCCAAGTAGCTAGGATTACAGGCATGAACCACCAGCACCTGGCAAGAAATCCTGGTGATGTTTATTGTGATTTTTTGTTTTTGGCCAGTCCTGGGCTTGAACTCGGAGCCTGGGCACTGTCTCTGAGCTCCTTTTGCTTAACCACTTAAGTCACAGTGCCACTTCTAGCTTTTTCTGTGTATGTATTACTGAGGAATCCGACCCAGGGCTTCATGCATGCTAGGCAAGCACTCTACCACTAAGCCACATTCCCAGCCCTATTTTGATATTTTTATACAACTACTAAATCAGATTAACTCAACATCTAATTATTAAATACCAACCAGACATTTAGTCCTGTGTGAAGTGCTTCATTTAACTTTGACCTGCTTTGTCTTCCTTTTTCCTTCCTTTAAGACAGGTCTCTCTGTACAAGGTATTTTCCTTTAAAAATTTTCCATATAACTCAATATCTTTGTCCTCCTAACAAGCTTTCCTTACTCTCCGCTTTCTCGGCCTCCAGGAACTCTGTTCCTGTAAGTATGGCCCTTTAGATTCCACAAGAATGAGATCATTCAGTGTTTGTATTTCCATACAGGCTTGTCTCACTTAGCCTAAGTCCTCCGTGTTCATCCATATTGTCACCAATGACATGATTTACTTTCTTCTTAAGGCTGAAGAGTATTCCTTTGCAGATATATATATATATATATATATATATATATATATATATGTATATATATATATATATATATATATGTACCATATCTATCTATCACATTTGTGTGTGTGTGTGTGTGTGTGTGCTGATACTAAGGCTTGAACTCAGAGCCTCGGTGCTGTCCTCTAGTATTTTGCTGAAGGTTGGAGCTCTACCACTTGAGCCACAGCCCCACTTCTGGTTTTTTGGTGGTTAATTGGAGCTAAGAATCTCATGAATGTTCCTGCCTGGGCTGTCTACCAAGGTTGATTCTCGGTTCTCAGATTTCCCAGTAGGTAGGCTTACAGGCCTGAGCCACTGGCTGGCAGCTATACCACATTTTCTTTATCTATTTATCTACTGATGGACACTCAGACTGTATATATTGTGTGATGTGATGACTACAGTTAACATAGGTGTCATATATATAATATATAATATATAATATATGTAATAGTACATTGCAAATTAATAAGCATTCTTAAAACCAAAAGAGAAGTATATATGGTAATGTATATGTTTAGCATCTGGACCTTAGCTCTTTCACAATGTCAACAACTATCAAAAAAAAAATATATGGTATTTCTGGCAAATATCTATATATACATATATACATATGTATACATACATATATATATATGTGTGTATATATATATATATATATACAAACCAGAGTTCATTCTTGTTCTCCTTTCTGACAAGTACATATATATGTGTGTGTGTGTGTGTGTGTATGGCAAGTACATATGTGTGTGTGTGTGTGTGTGTGTGTGTGTGTGTGTGTGTGTGTGTGGTGTGTGTATATATATCTACTTGCCAGAAAGGAGGAGAACAAGAATGAACTCTGGTTTGCTCTGTATTTGTTTCCTTGATTCTACACAGTACAACCTCAAGGTAGATAGCTAAGTGCGAATTCCTAGTTTGCTTCATCTCATTTGGAGAATGAGGATCATAAAAACCTGTCTCACAGCTGTCATGCAGACTTAATAGAAGATCCTAAGTAGAGAGTAGGCCATAAAAATACCCTAAAAAAAAGAGAGATTTGGTTCTTTTTCTTCTAGCTTCTCCTTGGAGAGAATACAGAAAAATATAAAACAGATGTGAAGTGATCATTAAATAAATATCCACCTAATTATGATTTTTCTTTATAGTGGAACAATTCGAGTGTGGGAACTGGATCTCCCAAATAGAAAAATCCGGCCTACAGAGTGCCAGACAGGACAGTTGAAAAGAATAGTTATGAGTATTTCCGTAAGTGTCCCTTTAAGTATCATGTGAAGTAACTATTAGTTCCTGTTAACAGTTCTGATGGAGGGGTGTGTGTGTGTGTGTATGCATGTGTGGGTGTACAAATGTGGATGACAAGATTCAGATGGGAGGGACTTCATTTCTGGGACTTTCTTCAGGGGAGGAGGAGAAACTGTTTCAGGTCCTGTATCAACAGGGACCTGAGCTGTCACCAGACACCCAAACCCTGCCTCACCCAGTGGAAGTGATGTAGACAGGTGGCATTCAGACACAGTGACACATCTCTATGCCACCAATGTTGATTACAGTACTGGAAATAAGGTTCTGATAGTAAAATTCATTGTTTAAATATGTTTCTCCCATAAAGAGAAATTGTTCATATGTTTTGAATGTGGATTCATATCTTGTGACTTCATTCTCCATGGATCTATTCCTCTTATTTAAGTCAGCGTTTGTTTTTTGTTTTTTATTTTTTTGTCAGTTGTGGGGCTTGAACTCTGGGCCTGGGCACTGTCCCTGAGCTCTTCAGCTCCAGGTGAGAGCTCAACTTGAGCCACAGCACAACCTCTGGTTTTCTTGTGGTTAATTGGACTTTCCTGCCCGTGATGTCTTTGAACTGTGATCCTCAGATCTCAGCCTCCTGAGTAGCTAGGATTACAGGTGTGAGCCACTGGTGCCTGGCTTAATTCATAGTCTTTTTATGAATTAGACGTTGGAAACTTATGAAGTGAAGCAAATTATAGCTGTGTGTGTGTGTGTGTGTGTGTGTGTGTGTGTGTGTGTGTGTGAGCACACCAGTTCTGGGACTTGAATTCAAGGCCTGGGCACTGTCCTTGAACTTTTTGCTCAAGGCTATCACTTGAACCACATCTCTACTTCCTTTTGGTGGTTAGTTGGAGATCAGAGTGTCATGGAATTTCCTGCCAGGGTTGGTTTGAACCATGATTATGGGAATGAGCCACCAGCGCCTGGCTATAGCCTCTTTGAAGGAGTACACTTTCATCCTAGGAGCACTAGTGTCTCAGGGGTAGACACGAGGCAGATTGTACATGCTATTATCAGACCAAAATAGATGTCAAGTGAATTGCACAGGTCAACTGGAGACTAATATTTCTTCCAGGTTTATATTTGGCAAGGATACTGCTCCCTCCAGAGCAGTTCTTAACTGTCTTTGAGTCTGGGAAGATGGACCTCACTATGAGCATCTTGTTAGTCCTCACAGGGTTTCAAAGGACTCTTATCCTCTCTCTGATCATGTTTCCAGGTTTCTGTTTCTCTATTCCCAGATGGCAGATGATGACAGCTTTTTCTACGTTGGTACCACAACTGGAGATGTTCTAAAAGTGAATCCCAAGACCAAATTGATGGCAGACACTGGGCCTAAGAAGGACAAGTACAGTTTGGTGAGTGGAGACCCTCACAATATCCTTTGCCCTCCACCAGTAGCACAGACTTTCATTCAGAAAAAGTAGAGTTGCCAAGTGCTGGTGGCTCACGCCTGTAATCTTAACTATTCAGGAGGTTAAAATCTGAGGCTTGAGGGGCTGGGAAGGTGGCTCAGTGGTAGAGCGCTTGCCTTGCATGCTTGAGGCCCTGGGTTCGATTCCTCAGCACCACATAAGCAAAAAGAAAAAAGCCAGAAGTAGCACTGTGGCTCAAGTGGTAGAGCGCTAGCCTTGAGCTGAAGGGCTGAAGGACAGCGCCCAGGCCCAGAGTTCAGGCCCCACGACTGGACCCCAAAAAAATAAAAGAATCTGAGGCTTGAGGTTTAAAAGCCAGGCCAGGAAGATGAATTGTGAGACTCTTAACTCTAATTAACCACCAAAAATCTGGAAATGAAATGGTGGCTCAAGTGATAGAGAACCAGCCTTGAGTAAAAAGGTAGGGCAAAAGTGCCAGGCTGCCTTAGAACTGGCATAAAAAAATTAAAACAAAAAAGAGTATAGAAGTGAGGTGTCAGTGGCTCAGGCCTGTAATCCTAGCTACTCAAGGAACTGAGATCTGAGGAACACAGTTGGAAGACAGCCTGGGTAGGAAAAATCTGTGAGCCTCTTATCTCCAATTAATCACCCCAAAAGAGCCAGACATGTAGAGCTGAGGCTCAAGTGGTACAGTGCTAGCCTTGGGCACAAAAGCTCAGGGATAGCACCCAGTCCCTGAGTTTAAGCCCCAGGACACAGACACAGACACAGACACAGACACACACACACACACACACACACACACACACACACACACACACTACAGAAAAAAATGCTCACAAATTAGTGATATTCCCAAAGCTACATCTGTATTTGCAAAGGGTTCTGGATAGTTCTTCAAGCTGGCTTCTCTGGTTACTTCTAAGGCAATACCATTGCTGGGTATCTGGGTATCCTTAGATATGGACTCAGCACCTGAACTAATTTTACTTTTTCAAAGCACAAGAGCTGTTGCTTCAGGATTTGGATCCTTATTTGTCATTTGTCATTTGTCTCAGCCCAGTTGAGGGGCGCCCTTTTATCTTATAGATCATACATATACATATACATTTTGGTGGTGGTGGCCATGGGGATTGAACTCTGGGCCTGGGCACTGTCCCTGAGCTCTTCAGCTCAAGGTGAGCACTCTACCACTTGAGCCACAGCACCACTTCTGGTTTTCTGGTGGTTAATTGGAGATATACATTTTTTTGTACTGTAATAATAAGATCTTGGGTTTTAGCCTCAACAGATAAGTCATGAATGAGACCTAAAAATAGTCAATTCTTCATATTTGCAAAATTTCTAACAACTCTGGTTAAAAATCCAGTTAATAGCTGGGCATGGTGGCTCACGCCTATAATCCTAGCTACTCAGGAGGCTGAGATCTGAGGATCATGATTCAAAACCAGCCCAGGCAGGAAAGGCCATGAGACTCTTTATCTCCAATAAACCACTCAGAAAATCAAGAGTGGTGCTATGGCTCAAGTGGTAGAGCACTAGTCTTGAGCTGAAGAGCTGAGGGATAGCACCTAGGCCCAGAGTTCAAGCCCCATGACCAAGAAAAAAAAATCCAGTTAATAATGTTGAATTAAAACCAAAATAAAATATTCACCATCAAATAATGATGTTTTATAATAAGTGCTATTATTCCCAGCACCCCAGAACATCTCAAGAGCTGTTTCTACTAAACTTTGAATTTGAAAGTTTGTGCTAGGCTCTGCTGCTGTCTATTTCACTTCGGATAACAGAGCAGATGGTTCTATCTCCTCAACAGATATTCTCAAGAAACTTTGAAATGTAGTACTGTGCTCTTGGGGAAATGTCAGAATTTTCCTAATCATATGATTATTTAATATTCATGCTTTTAGCTTGAATACAAGATCTGTATGAAGAAACTACAAAACTCTAATGAAAGAAATAAAAGAAGAATAAATAACGGGGTGTGGCAGTTCAAGCCTGTAATTCTAGCTATTCATGAGGTCTGGAGAATAGTGGTTACAGGCATTCCCAGGGGAAAAAAAATGTCCATGAGATTCCATCACAATGGTGTGGAGGTGTTTATCTGTCATCCCAGCCATATCAGGAAGCATTATATAGGAGGCTTGTGGTCCATCTGTGTGCCTAGGGGATAGGGAATGGGGATCCAAACTGTAGCTCAAAGATAACCAGTACACCTAGACATTGGTAGCTCATGCCTAGAATCCTAGCTACTTGGGAGGCTGAAATCTAGAGGATTAGGGTTTGAAGCCAGTACAGGTGGAAAACTGAGCAACTCGATCTCTAACTAACTAGCACAACCCCAGACTGGAGTTGTGATTCAAATGGTACGAATTCAAGCCTTGGGCAAGAAAGGTGAATGAGAATGAGTAAGAGTACTGAGTTCAATTCCTGCTACCAGCACACAGACACACACAGACACACAGACACACACACATACACAAATAACCTTGCAAAAAGGGCTGGAGGAGTAGCTCAGTGGTAGAGCCCTACCAAATGTAAGGCTCTAAGTTCATAAATCTGTATAATGATACCCCCCTGAGCTTTGTCAGATAAGCAAAGCTAATACCCTGGATTTTTTTTAAACAGGGTACTCCCTGAGTTTTTTGCTAAAGGCTAGCACTCTACCACTTTGAACTACAGTGCCACTTCTAGGTTTTGAGTGGTTAATTGGAGATAAGAGTCTCACAGGGAGTTTTCTGCCTGGACTAACTTCAAACCGTGATCCTCAGATCTCAGCCTCCTGAGTAGCTAGGATTACAGGTAGAAGCTACTCATGCCAGAAAAAGTGGTTTTGTGGTGTGTGTGTGTGTGTGTGTGTGTGTGTGTGTGTGTGTGTGTGTGTGTGTGTGTGTGTGTCCATCATTGGACTTGGACTCAGGGCCTGGGCACTATCCCTGAGCTTTTTCACTTAAGGCTAGCACTCTACCACTTTGAGCTACAGCATCACTTCCCAAGCTCACTTTTTGCAACAAGCCCTATGCCTTGGTAACACTCCACTCTCTTGAAAACAACCCCCTCCCTTGATGACATTATTCCTTCCAGGAGGGCAGATGCATGTCTGGGTACATGACCTAGTCACCTCCCAGTACTGTAGCATTGGGGACTGGGTGACTTTGAGACACATTCAAACTCTAGCTGTCATGCATTAGAAGTTTAGAGTGGGCACTATATAAGCAGGTCATTACACATCCCTAAACTTTGAAGATTGCTTGAATTTTCCATGTGTTTCTAACTTCTGATAAGATGATGTATCTACTGCTTTAGTTCAGGAAATAGTGTTAGTAAGGAGCTTTCTGTGATGTCTTCAGATGGCAAATCTGGCCTATCTGCATTTACAAGAATTGCATCTTGGTAGAAACTTTGTGAATAACTCAAAGACTGGCATTGCTAAGGCTACGTTTATACTTCCTACTTTAACTCAATTCCACTGAATGTGAAAGTGTTAATATTTAACATATTCAAAATGTACAGGTGGTTGGGTATAGTAACGCATATCTGTTAATCCCAGGTACTTGAAAGATGGAGATTGAAAGGATTGTGATTCAAGACCATGGGGCAAAATGTTAACAATGTAACAGACAAGCTGAGAGTGTGTGCCACATACTTGTATTTTAGCTGTGGGGAAGGTATAGGTAAAAGAATAAGGTCAGCCCAAGCAAAAAGTGCAAGACCCAAGCCAGGTGCCAGCAGCTCATGCCTGTAATCCTAGCTACTCAGGGAGCTGAGATCTGAGGATCAAAGTTCAAAGCCAGCTCAGGCAGAAAGTCCAAAGTGAGACTCTAATTAACCACCAGAAAACTACAAGTGGCGCTGTGGATCCAAGTGATAGAGCGCTAGCCTTGAGCAGAAGAGCCAACAAAATAAAAAGTGCAAGACCTTGTCTAAAAAAGCAAAAAGAGCTAGCATGTAGAAGACCCTGATCTCATACCTCAGTACTGCAAAATTGAGAACAACTACAACAAAATAGCAAAATATTGCAGGTGATAGGAAGAAGGATGATGAGGCACATCTGCTTTTTGCAGGACTAGGAAGGCTACTTCATAACATACACTCCCATGTTAGTATTCAATGTCCAAGTTCTACCATAGCCAATACCTTCATAAACTCCATCATGTGTAACAGTCATATGGCCTCAGCCATGTTCACTGTGTCATGCATTGTATTCATTCTTTTTGTGTGAATGTGTGTTTGTATGTGATACTGGGATTAGAATTCAGGGCCTTATACTTACTAGGTAGCGTGCTCTACCACTTCAGCCATGCCCGCAGGCCTTTTCTGCTTTTTTTTTTTTTTCAAAGTAGGTTCTTAACTTATGCCTACGGCTGGTTTCAAGCTATAGTGCTCCTACTTATAACTCCTGTATAGCTGGAATTACAGGTATGTAATACTACATTGATTCTTAATGATGAGACCATTTGGCCTTTCTCATAGTACTGTTTTCCCTGCATAGGGAGTGACCGTTATCAGATGCCTGATGATGGGTGGTTTGTTGCTCGGCTCCGGAGCTGGATTGCTGGTCTTTTGTAAAAGCCCCAGCTATAAACCCATCAGGTAAGTTCTGGGCCGGACAGGGTTGGGAGAGTAAAAGACCCGCTACAGGGAGATTCACCTAAAGACACCAACTAAAATGTATTGGCAGAGTCATATTTGGTTAAAGAAGTTCACCTTGCTATTAAAATGAGTAGTTGCAATCACAATAGAGAATGGTTTCTTTGCCAGTGAAATTGTTTATGTTGACTCAAATCAAAGTCATCCACTATAACCTAGACAGGCACCACCATTTAACAAATATTTACATTTTTACACCACATATGGAGACACAACAAAGGAAATACATTACAAATTCATCACCTCCCACAACTCTCAAATTTTAAACTTCCAAAATTAGCATATTCTCACTATGAAGAAAAAAAAAAAAGAATGATATAAGTTGTGGGTAGGGACAGGAGGGGGGAAATGAGGGAGAATAAAGGAAGGGGTGACATTGTCCAAGAAGCATTGTACTCATACCCTGACTTATGGAATTGTAAACCCTTTGTACAACCCCTTAATAATAACAATAAAAACGGTATTATCCAATGAAATTGATTACACAGTGAGTAGCTATTACTTGCAAATAGTGAACACTTTTAAATACAAATAGCCAATATTCACCAGCTAATTTCTTGTGCCAGATACCAGGCTATATTGTTTCCATGACTCATTTAATTGAGATAAACATAAATAAAAAAAATTTTTTTTTGAGTCCAGTTGTGGGGCCTGAACTCTGGGCCTGGGTGCTGTCCCTCAGCTCTTCAGCTCAATGCTAGCACTCTACCACTTGAGCCACAGTGCCACTTCCAGCTTTTTTCTTTTTGCTTATGTGCTGAGGAATCGAACCCAGGGCCTCATGCACGCAAGGCAAGCGCTCTACCACTGAGCCACCTTCTCAGCCCCATAAATAAAATTTTATACACTGCCATCCAAACCAATGTGCTAGATACTATTAAAAAATAAGATATGGTCTTTGTCTTCCCAGAACTAATATTCTGGTTTGAGAGTAATACATGCATGAAAAATGTCACTATAAGACCAGATAATCTAATCAAAACAACATTAACATTCCATCTCACCCCAGTTAGAATGGCCATAATCAAGAACTCTAATAACAACAGATGCTGGAGGGGATGTGGCCAAAAGGGAACCCTACTGCATTGTTGGTGGGAATATAAACTTGTTCAACCACTTTGGAAAGCAGTATGGAGGTTCCTCAGAAGACTCCAAATAGAGCTCCCCAATGACCCAGCAATCCCACTTTTGGGCATTTACCCAAATGATCACAAACAAGACCATACTAAAGCTACCAACACAACTATGTTTATCACAGCATTATATACCATAGCTGAGATATGGAACCAACCCAGATGCCCCTCAGTAGATGAATGGATCAAGAAAATGTGGTGTATACACACACACACATACACACACACACACACACACACACACACACACACACACACAATGGAATTTTATGCCTCCATGAGAAAGAATGGCATCGCCCCATTTGTTAGAAAATGGAAAGACTTGGAAAAAATGATATTAAGTGAAGTAAGCCAGGCCCAAAGAAACATAGGTCCCATGGTTTCCCTTATTTGCAACAACTAGTATATGTCTGAGACAAGCAGAAAAGGCCAAAAAGCAATGTACATATGACCATGTAAGATGATGTTAAGCAAAATGAACCCCAAGATAGGGACACAAATATTTTTTTTTCTTTCCTGCTATTGTTTTTAATGTATTTATAATGTACTCTGTGATTTTTTTTTCTTTGTATGTTCCTCCCCCACAGTATAACCCCTGTTTTCAGTGTATTTGATTTCAGTGCCCTGCATCTTGTATATACATTTTTCTAATTTGGGGAGGGGAAGGGAAAAACCAAAATGTTTAAATAGGGATACAGGTTGACCCATTGTAACAATGAGATGTACAAGACACTATGTTGAAAACGAACTTTACAACTTGCGGGGGGCTAAGATGCAGAGACTCCTAGTTCAAAGCCAGCCCCAAGCATTAATGTCCACAAGACTCCATCTGCAGAACAGCTAGCAAAAATCTGGCCTGGCTCAAGTAGTAAAGCACTAGCAGTGAATAAACAAGCCAAGTGAGAGAGTGGGGTTAAGCCCAGGAAATGGGGTTTCACTAACCTCTAGTTAGTGAAAGAGCTAACAACCAAGTCCCACCAATAAACTGGACTTTCTAAGACACCGCACTTTCTATACTGGCTCCTTACATGACAGCCCCCAGCCATGGAATTGTTTGTGACAGTGGGTTACTGGGATTGAACCCAAAGTCTCATGTATGCTAGGTAAGCACTCTACCACTTGAGCCATACCCAGCTCTTTTGTATTTTTGTATTTTGTTCAAAGATAGGGTCTCACTAACTTGGCTTTCAACTTGTAGTCCTCCTGTCTCTACCACCCAAGTAGCTAGGATTACTGATATGGACAACAAGGATCCCAGGGCTATGTTAGTGTGTGTGTGTGTGTGTGTGTGTGTGTGTGTGTGTGTATATATATATATTAAAGTTTGTACTTTTTAAACAGTGTTGGAGGGGGAGGAGAAATCGGAAATTGCAAGATGAGAAAGTAATCACTAAAGGCTCTCACAAACACAATTGCTATCAAGGTTTTTCTTTCCAATGCTGGAGACTGAACCCAGAGTTTCACACATTCTAGGCAAGCATTCTAGTGCTGATCCCAACATTTTGTTATTTCTCTTTGTCTTTTTTTTTTTTGCTAGTTATTCAATTTTTAAAATAATGTACAAAATTTTACATACTGATTTTTTTGTGGGGCCTGAACTCTGGACCTGGGCACGGTCCCTCAGCTCTTCAGCTCAAGGCTAGTGCTCTACCACTTGAGCCACAGTGTCACTTCCGGCTTTTTTCTTTTTGCTTATGTGGTGCTGAGGAATTGAACCCAGGGCCTCATGCATGCAAGGCAAGTGCTCTACCACTGAGCCACCTTCCCAGCCTACATACTGATTTTTTTTACTTTCTTCAAACACCATATGCATCATAATATTACTACATGCTAATTTATGTTGTAATGATAATATATACATATATTACACAATACATAAACTACATAGAAGCATACACTACATATACACATAAACTACCTACTCCATGAATATCACTTTAGTGGCTAGGCAAATATTCTACCTATGAAGTTGCATCCCATAGATCATTTAATTGCTCCATTATCATTGGTTATTTAAGTTGTTTCTAACTCTTCCCTCTTTTAGATAAGGTGAGCATCATTTGATATTAAAGAGCCAGGCACTGGGGGCTCATGCCTGTAATCCTAGCCACTCAGGAGGCTGAGATCTGAGAATTGTAGTTCAAAGCCAGCCTGGGCAGGAAAGTCTGTCAGACTTTTATCTTCAATTAACCACCACAAAATCAGAAGTGGCGCTGTGGCTCAAAGTGGTAGAGCTCTAGCCTTGAGGAAAAGAGCTCAGGGACACTGCCCAGGGTTGGACAAAAAAATTTTCAAAAGAAAGGTTCCTCCGCCTGATTTTAGGGTTATTTTTCAGAAATGGAATTAATAAAGGGCTTAGTTGACATAAGGCCATTGTACCCATAAGCTTGCATGGCCATTCCCTTCTAACTAAATCCTGCCTGTCTTGTCCAGCCCAGTTTAGAACATATCCCACTGATGGATCACATCCTCCATGACCCTTTTAACATATGCTGACCATGGCTGGAAAGCATCATGAATAAGCCACATCTTTCCAAGCATGCCACTTCCTTGAAGGCTCGTCGCCTATCTCAAAGCTGATTGGTACCCTCTTGAATGCTTGGTATGGGCAGCACATATCTGCTGATGGAGTGAGTTTACTTTATCTTTTTGCTTCTCTTTAAAGGAAGATTCAGTTACAAGGTGGTGTCACTTCTATCACACTTCGAGGAGAAGGACACCAGTTTTTTGTAGGGACAGAAGAATCGCACATTTATCGCATCAGCTTTACGGAGTTCGAAGAGACTCTCATTGCGACTTGCCACTTTGAAGCTGTACAGGACATTGTCTTTCCATTGTAAGTAGAAACAGAATATTGTATGGTATGGATTTGATACAGCATGCAAGGGAATTTTCCTGTTTTTAACATCTTTTTTTCTCCTTAATTTTTTTAATGTAGTGAATTATTTTAACAGACTTTCTATTGTATTCACCGTTAGTTACATGAACTTTACTAGTAGTGGGGCTTGAACTCAGGACCTTGCACTCTTGCTTAGTTTTTATGCTCAAAGCTAATGCTCTACCACTTGAGCTAGCTACACCTTCACTTCCAGCTTTTTGCTGGTTAATTGGAGATGAGAGTCTCGTGGACTTATCTACCTGGGATGGCCCCAAACTTTAATCCTCAGATCTCAACCTGCTGGAGTAGCAGGATTTCAGGTGTGAGGTACCAATGCCTGGCACTTTGATTGAAATTTTAATAAGATCTTCTATGCTTTAGGAAAAGGTTTCTTCCTTTAATGTAAAATTTCCATGGAAATATTTATCTCAAGAGATGTTATTTATCAAGCATATACTTGCTTTCAAATTCATCCAGTAACATACATCAACTATGTAACCTTGTGTCAGTCATACCTCAATAAACTGCTTTTTGAAAAGGAATGTGACTATTATACCAGTTGAAACAGACTTCAAAATTACTTTCTAAAAAAATGTTGTGCTGGTTCTGGAGCTTGAATTCAGGGCCTGAGCACTGTCCCTGAGCTTTGCTTTTTTGCTCAAGGATAGCACTCAACCACTTGAGCCACAGCTCCACTTCTGGCATTTTGGTAATTAACTGGAAAAAAAGCATCTCATAGATTTTCCTGCCTGGGCTGACTGGATACTGAGATCCTCAGATTTTAGCCTCCTGAGTGGCTAGGATTACAAGCATGAGCCATGGGTGCCCTGCCTTTCTTGTTTTTGTTTAAAGCAACTTTGTCCCAACCTTTCCTAAAGGGAAAACACTAGAAAAGATTTCCCATGGGGGATTTGAGGGCATGGGAAGCCACTTAGCATGAGAAATCTCTGAGATTTGGGGAATCATCACAGAAAAGGCATCCAGCCCTAGATCCTTGTGAGACACATTTGGGCGCCAAAGGCGTGCCTAACACCACATATCATTTGTGGCACCATCTCTTATCCCTCGATGGCTTCTTTGCAGTGGTACCGCTGAGCTATTTGCCACATGTGCTAAGAGGGACATTAGAGTGTGGCACACAATGTCCAACAGGGAGCTGCTTCGGATCACTGTGCCTAACATGACCTGCCACGGCATTGATTTCATGAAAGACGGCAAGAGCATCATTTCAGGTAAGGGCTACCGGTCAGGATTTAGCACTGGGCGCCTACTGTGGCTTTGACCCTTTGTCCTTCTCACTCTCCACCAGTCTCGACCTGTAGAAGGATGACCTGAGTCAGCCTATTGAGGGCCACTGGCTTTGGGGTTTGTCTAGCCTCTCCTCTCCTCATCATTCCCTTCCAGGTGGGGGATTTTTCTGATCTAGAAAGGACCAAGTAAGCAATTTCCTTTCTCTCCAATTGCTACCTGTCACTTTTCTGTTTCTCTCAGTAGGGAAATTTACTAATTCAATTTTGAGAAGGACTTGAGGTCTTAATGAATAGCATAAGGATACTTGTATTCAGACCATTTTTGTTGTATGGGAGAAAGATATGCTACTCAAGCTAGGTTATTCTCCAAAAGGAAAAATTTAAAAAAACTCAATTTATGCCAAAGTATTATTATTATTAACCAGTATTGAGGTTTGAACTTGGCCTTGGATTCACCTTGCTTGCTCTCTTGGCTGGTGCTCTACCACTGTAGCCATGTCTCCAGTCTGGCATTTTTCTGGTCCAGTGGAGATAGAGTCTCACAGACCTTTCTGTCTGGGATGGCTTGGAACCTTCATCCTCCAAGCCTTAGCCTTCTGAGAGCTAGGATTATGAGCAAGAGCCACCTATGCTAGGCTTATGCCTAAATTATAGATATGATAGTCTACCTTTAAATATTTCACTTCTAAAAAAAGTGTTTCTTAATATCATCTATATGTAATCTACATCAATTTCCCCTGGGTGTCCCAAAGTAAGTTTACTTTTGACATCAATGAAAGGTCAAGCAAACCTTTAGGGACAGCTTATTGACATGGTACCATTAAGAACCTGCCTCATCCCTTCTTTCCTTGGCTCTGCTTTCTCCTGTCTTCAACCCAGTGTGGTCACCAGGGCTTGCACTGCACTTAGGCTGACAAATCCTCAGGTCAGAAATGGCCAACATTTTGACCTTTGCTTTGGCTCATAAACTCATGTCCATGTGTCCTGATGGATTCCCAGTTCCAGGTTTAGTCAAGGTTCCATTATTTGTCACCTTGTCCTCTTTTGTCTTAGCCACCACCATCTCCTCCTAAGACACCACAGTAGCTTCCTTCCCACCTCTCTCTCCACATCTACTTACAACCAAGAGACCAGAAATCTGTTTTAAAATGTGGAATCCAGTCAGGCTCAAAAGTCTTTTATCTTCTGTTAATAAAGTCCAGGTAATAACCTGCTAGACCCTGCATGACCTTCTCCCACCCTCCCTTTCCCTTACTCACCTGGGACATCTACCCTTACTGCTCACTCTCTCCAACCACACTAGCTTCCTAGTTCCTCAAACACACTGGCCTTGGAGCTTTTGCTCTAGCTGTTCTGTCTGCCTGCTGCTCCTCCCCCTGATTATCCCACAGATTCTTCCCACCTCTTCTCACTACCTCAAGTCTTTGCTAAAATGGGATTTACCTTGAGCATCCTACTTAAAATTACCAAGGGGTAACACTAAAGCACCAGCCATGTGGAGACCCGGGGGAGAAGCATTTCAGGTAGAAGGAACAGCAAGTGTTAAGGCCCTGAGGTGGGAAATAACTAATCAAACTATTAAAGCTTGGATAGGATGGTACCAGTGGAAAGAGAGAAAGGTATATAGATTCTGGATATTTTTACAGTAAGGGCAGATGTGACTTTCTGATGGATTGGATGCTGAGTTGGGTTGGATGGGTAGAATAGAGATACTCTGAGGAACTTAAGCAACCGGATGGATGGATGAATAGATGGATGGATGGATGATAGATGGATGGACGAATGGGTGATGGATAAGTGACTGAATGAGTGGGTGGGTAGATGAATGATGAGTAGATATGAGATAAGTGGGATGAATAGATGGATGGATAAATGGGATGGATAGATAGATGGATGGATAGGTAGAGGAATAGATTGATAGATGGTAACAATATTTATTGAGATGGGCAAGAAGCTGAGAATGGTGAAAGAAGCATCCAACGTAAAGCTGTAGTAGCAGAGGAGGAAAGCCAATAATTACTTGGAATTGTTAAACGATACATTCCAGATATGATATCAAGTTACTAGTTGAATGTATAGGTCTATAGCTCACGGGAAGCTGGGAACTGGCCTCCCTCTTTTCTCCCCCCCCCAAATCCTCCCTTACCTGACATAAGACACAGCTGCAGACAGAGTCAACCAAAGCTCACCTTTCCTTCTTGTGGGAGTAGCTCCAGGCGGGAGCAGTTTGGAGGAGCAGGGAAAGAGGGTGGGAGTGTTGTCACCTGGTTCCAAATCCGGATTCTCATTTATGATTTAGAGGATGGGCCGTCTGCCGAGAGTGAGTGTGAGTATGCCAACCTTGCTTGCCTTTTGTCTTCCTTTCATGCCAGCTTGGGACGATGGCAAAATTCGAGCCTTTGCCCCTGAGTCCGGACGACTGATGTATGTCATTAGCAATGCTCATAGAATTGGAGTGACCGCCATTGCTACCACCAGTGACTGTAAAAGAATCATCAGTGGTGGCGGGGAAGGCGAGGTACTGCTCTTAAAAATGCATTTCTTCAGAACAAAACAAAAAAGCTCCATTTAGAGCAATCAATGAATAGAACACTAAGTCTCAAGTATGGTCAAGGAGGGTCAGGTTAAAGATTTTTGATGATACCCTAAAGTTTATTACAAATTGAAAAACATACATCTAAATACATTTGTTCACAGAAAGACACTTGAAATACAGACTTGAAAACACCAGGTATGGAAACAACCTGTGAATCCAAGTTGGTGTTTTGCCAGAGTTATGACATGTTTGTTTTTTTCCTCCATTGTTGTATGTTTTAAAGCAGATATGTGCACATTTAAAAATACATCAATACTTATTTATCTTAATACATTCATTATTTGCTTATTTATTTTATTGGGGGTGGGGAGGCACATCCTGGAGCTTGAACTCACTGTCCCTGAGCTTTTTTGCTCAAGGTTAGTGCTCTACCACTTGGGCTATAGCTCCATTTCTGGCTTTTTTTGAGTAGCGAATTGGATATATGAGTTCATAGTCTTTCTTGCCAAGGCTAGCTTCAAACCTCAGTCCTCAGATCTCAGCCTCCTGATGGCTAGGATTATAGGTGTGAGTCACCAGTGCCCAACCTGTTGTTTGTTTGCTTATTTATATTTTATTTATTTATTTATGACAGTACTGGAGTTTGAACTCAGAACATTGCACTTGCTAGACTGGCTCTCTACCATGAAGCCATACCTCCAGTCCTTTTTGCTCTGGCTGTTTTGGAGATAAGGTCTTGCTTTTTTTGCCTGGGCCAGCCTAGACCATGATGCTCTTTTACACTTCTTGCCATAATTGAGATGGCAGACATGCTTCACTATACCTAACACCCAGCTTTTTCTGTTGAGATGGAGTGTCATGAACTTTTCTGCCCTAGCTGGCCTGGAACTGTAATGCTTCTGATCTCTAGTTCTCACGTTGCTGGGATTTCAGGTGTGAGCCACTGGGCCTGATCAGAAAATCATCTTTACAGAAGTTGTGCTCTTGGCTTGTTGGTGATAGTCACAGTTCCGTGTCATCTACTCCTTTCTTCCCTTCTGGGCTATTGTAGGTCTCTTCTTAAAGACAATCTTCCAGGGCTTTGTAAGTACTAGAGACCTATCTGCTTGGAGGAATGCACTGAGGAAATGTAGTACTGGCTAAAGCGCTCAGGTACTTCCACATTCAAGTGCCCCTCTTTTAAATACCCTAACCTAAAAAGGTGTGGTGGTACATGCCTATAATACCAGCTACTCAGGAATTACTGGCATGAGGATCAGAGGACCAGAATGAGGCTAGGTACTGATGGCTTACGCCTATAATCCTAACTACTAAGGAGGCTGAAATCTGAGGATCAGGGTTTGAAGTCAGCCTGGGTAGGAAAGCCTCTGTGATATTCTTATCTCAAATTAATCACAAAAAACCTAGAAGTGGAGCTGTGACTCAAGTGGTAGAGTACTTGTCTTGAACAAAATAACTCAGGGACAGTACCTAGGCTCTGAGTTCAAACCCCAGGACTGACAAAAAAAAAAAAGGAAATTTGTTCTCTTTAATAACAGTCATTACTCTACCCATGTCATAATTACTTAAACAGCATAAAAATGAATCTGGCCTAGCTCTTGGGGGATAATCTTAAACTGCCATTGTCTTTACTCTGACAATGTAGACCATTCAAATGCTTTTCTGACTTCATGTAACCTTATTTCCCTCCTACCATGTATAGAGATGTCCAACCTCTTCTGATTTATCTTAATTCTAGTTTTTAATTTCCTAGACCTCTATTTTCTCTCTGGCTGGAGGCCTCACACAGAACAGTTTTTGCTCTTCTTATTTTTATTTTTTAAGTCTAATATATTCATTTAAAAATGGTATATACATCAGATCACATTACTAGGTTTCCTGGCATGGTTGTAACTCTGCCTTTATCCATTAAATGACATCTTGCAATAACCAGTTTTCCCTTTATCCATTCCTTTTTACTTATAATGAGAGCATCATATTGATTGTTTTAGAATTTGGTATGTGGTTGTATCATCTATGAATTTCATGTCAGGAGAATAAGCAGGTATTAGAAAATATTTGCAATGGAGAATGGGTACTGGGTTTCCTGGGCTTGACAGCCATTGCTTTTAAAACTGAACAGCTGATGTGAAAGTTTAAATATGGCTCTGGGTACCCAAGAAGTTTCCTGATGGCACCAGAAATTTGAGAACAGTGCTCAGCAGACATGAGAAGGCAGATTATTTCACTTAATTTAGCAGAGGCCTTGGCATGATCGATTTTCATAGTGTGTGTCTGCTGAAAGCAGATGCAGGTACCAGATCATCCGTGGCATTTCCCAAGCTCCATAGATGATAGCATCTTGTCCACGAATATCCCTGCCCTTCAGGGTACCATTCCCACTTATGATAAGCATGGAGAAGTTAAAAAAAAATAAAAAAAAGAAAACCAAGCCATGCTCAGCAAGTGTGAATCTGCTCTTGGATCTTTTCTGGTCCCTTCAGAAGTCTCCAGTTTGTGTTAAAGCTTGTGGTTTGTGGCTTTCAGGTGAGGGTGTGGCAGATTTGTGGCCACACCCAGAAGCTAGAGGAGGCCTTGAAGGAGCACAAGTCCTCTGTGTCCTGCATCCGGGTGAAGAAAAACAACGAGGAATGTGTCACTGCCAGCACTGATGGCACTTGCATCATTTGGGACCTTGTGTAGGTACCTGGGATGACAAAGGAGGAGGACAGGATACCTGGTTGAACTCCCAAGGAGGGTGGGCTTCCATCTTATGTAAGGCAACAGTGATAAAGTCCTGGGTCTGCTTGGCAGCTGGGGTTTACTGACACAGATGGGAAGGGTGGAGCCTCTGGGAGAAGTGGGAAGTTTCTGGGGAAAGCTTGCATTATTTGATTTGCATTAATTTAACTGGAACTGTTGTAAAGGAAAGGAAGCTGGGGAAGTTAGTGTGGACAGTTCCTTCTTGCCCCTCAGTCACAAGAATCCTGGAAGGCTTGGGACAGGGGGATTCTGGGGGTATAGATCTCCCTTCCCCTCAATTGGCCATGTTTCCAGAAACCTCTTACACCACAGTGAGTGAGTTGACTCCAAACTAAGTAGACCAAAGCATGGCAACTTCACTGGAGGAATAATTCAGAAAATTTGCAAAGGTGATTTCTGATTTTTGGTTAGAAGCTTTTTCTTTTTTTTTTTTTGCCAGTCCTGGGGCTTGAACTCAGGGCTAGGACTCTGATCCTGAGCCTCTCTGTGCTCAGGGCTTGAACTCAGGGCTTAGACTCTGTTCCTGAGCCACTTGGTGCTCAAGGCTAGCGCTCTACCACTGGAGCCTCAGCACCACTTCTGGTTTTCTGAGTAGTCTATTGGAGATAAGAATCTCACAGACTTTCCTGCCAGGCTGGCTTTGGAGCTCGATCCTCAGATCTCAGTCTCCCCAGTAGCTAGGATTACAGGCGTAAGCCACCAGCACCTGGCTAGAAGCATTTTTTGCTGTTTTTTTTTTTTTTTTTTGGGTCCAGTCATGGGGCCTGAACTGTGGGTCTGAGCACTGTCCCTCAGCTCTTCAGCTCAAGGCTAGCACTCTACCACTTGAGCCACTGCGCCACTTCTGGCTTTTTTTTCTTTTTGCTTATGTGGTGCTGAGGAATCGAACCCAGGGCCTCAGACATGCAAGGCAAGCACTCTACCACTAAGCCACCTTCCCAGCCCCTTTGCTGTATGTTTTTATTTTGGAATCAGATCCCTATGTTCCCAACTCCTCCTCCCACCCATCCATTAAACACTATACATAATCTATGGAAGAAAGTGATACTTACATTTTTCTTGGTATGGGATAAGCATTCTTAATCTAAAAATCCAACATCTGAATGCTCTGAAAATGTAAACATTCTTAGCATCGTATCAGCACTCAACCATTTCAGATTCTGGAGTATGTGTGTGTGTATTTATTGTGCTGACACTGGGGCTTACCCCAGTGTCTCATGCTATTGCTTGGCTTTTTTCCCCCTCAAGGCTGGTGCTCTACTACTGAGCCATACCTCCAATTCCAGCTTTTTGCTGGTAAATTGGAAATAAGAGTCTACTAGATTTCTGTGCTCAAGCTGGTTTTGAAACAGGATCCTCAGATCTCAGCCTTGTGAATAGCTAGGACTATAGCTGGCTGATTGGAAGTATTTTAGAGTTCAGATTAGAAATGTTCTACCTATAAAGTCTAAGCAAGATCACTACATTGCCTAAACTCAAAATCTCAAGACATTTCAGGTCCAAAGCATTTTGGATATGGGATATTCAACTTGTACAGCATCTAAGTCAGGGGTTCTCAGAACTCCTGAGCACAGCACAGTTGGTTTCAAATGCAAGTCTTTGGGCCTCATTTAAACCCATGGAATCCAAATCCCTACAGGTGGGTTCCAAAAGCATCCATTTAAAAAAAAAAAGTGAAATTCACTCAGCTCCATTTGGACAAATGGTGGCCTCCAGAATAAAACACCTTATGAGGGAGGTAGCAGGTGGGCTCTGAGTTCAGTCTCTTCAAACTCCAGGTTTCACACTGAGTTTGCACTCTTATGTTTAGAAAGGGTCCCCCAACCCCTCTTGTTTTCTGACTGCCTCTGACAGATAAGGTGTGAGGATATATAGGTAGAGAGGGCAGAGCACTGAGAGGTCTGTTTTCCCCTTCCTTCCTTCCTTCCTTCCTTCCTTTCTTTGTCTGCTGGTCTAGGGTCTTGAAATCAGGGCCTGAGTGTTGTCCCTGAGCTATTTGACTCAAGGACAGTGATCTACACTTGAGCCATAACTCTACTTCTGGTTTTTTGGATGGACTTTCCTGCCTGGGCTGGCTTAGAACCATGATCTCAGATCTCAGCTCCCTAGGATTACAGCTAGGATTACAGGTATGGGCCATCAGTGCCCACTGTGCCAGAAGTCTGATTTTTTTTAATTTTTATTTATTTTTTATTGTGAAAATACTGTACAGAGGGGTTACAATTACATGGGCAAGATAATGAGTACATTTCTTATCAAGCATTGTAGCCTCCTCCTTTGTTTCCCCTTCCCATCCCTTCCCAGCCTCCCTTTTTTTTTTTTTTAAGTCTGATTTTTTTAAAAAAAGATATCCATATGCTAATGTTCTGGGTGCTGTGAAAACTTGAAGATAGACAGGCCAACCCAAATCCAAGCTAGTACCATGTATAATTGGAATAGTACACACATTTTTCTTGGGAAGAGCAAGTAGAGTTTTGCAGTTATTGAATCCACTTTTCAGGCGTCTTAGGAGGAATCAGATGATTCTGGCCAATACTCTATTCCAGTGTGTGTGTTATCACCCTGAGGAGTTCCAGATTATCACCAGTGGGACAGACAGGAAGGTGAGTAATTGGTCTTCCTTATCCAAGTCTACGAATTCAATCAACTATGGAGGACTGAAAATGTTTGGGGGGAAATTGGATCTAGACTGAACATGTAGACTTTTCCTTATTATTATTATTATTATTATTAGGGTCCGGTCATGGGGCCTGAACTCTGGGCCTGGGCACTGTCCCTCAGCTCTTCAGCTCAAGGCTAGCACTCTACCACTTGAGCCACAGCGCCACTTCCGGCTTTTTTCTTTTTGCTTATGTGATGCTGAGGAATTGTACCCAGGGCCTCATGCATGCAAGGCAAGCGCTCTACCACTGAGCCATCCTCCCAGCCCCTTCCTTATTATTATCCCCTAAATAAAACAGCATCACAACAATCACTATCACATTTCTATTGGTTGCATTAAGTGTGGTTAAAATGTATAGAAGGGTAGGCAAAAGTTCTTATATAACAGCCTTGAACGTGTAGGTTTTGGTATTCCTGGGAGTAGGTTCTGGAACCAATCCCCCTGGCAGATGCTCAAAGATTATTATAAACTATAATCACTAAAATCTCCCTTTGTGTGTTCCTAATTCACTAAAATAATTTTACTTAAAAGTCTCCCTTCTAATGAGGCATGGATGGCTCATGTCTGTAGCCCTAGCTACTCAGGGGGTTGAGATATGAGAAGATCATGGTTCAAAGCTAACCTAGGCAGGAAAGACTGTGGGACTTTCATCTCCAATTAATCAGCAAAAATCCAGAAGGCCAGGTGTGGCTCAAGTGGTAGAGCACTAGCCTTGAACAGAAAAGCCAAGCCAGAGTACAAGGCCCTGAATTCAAGCCCCATTACTGGCACAAAAATAAATACATAAAAGTTTCGCTTCTAGGAGGGGACCATGGTATAAATTTGTCTTCAAGTCTTATCCTGTATTTTCTTGCTTTGGGAAAGGAGAGAAGTAAGGACAAAAGAAGGTCCAGTCACAGTGGGCAGGTGGCTGTGTAGGATCAAGTTTTCAGAACTCTCCAGAATGCTCGTTCCCCCTTCCAGAACCCCATCTGGAAGCAAGAAGCTTTCCCTCCCACCAGGCTTGCAGCTTTGCTCTCCTCAAGCACAGAAAGTGCTTATTTTACACTTCTTTATTTTATATTTTGTTACAGGCTCAATCTGCTTAGTCTCATCAAAAGCTTTCTGTGGAAATCCAGGTTTATCAGCATATCAACATCTCTTTAAATAGCCTGCAAATTAAAAAAGCCAATACTAAAAATATTAAAAATGGTTTCTCCACCCCTGCTGTAGCCTATTTCTAATTTCAGCCCAAACCATCCCAGAGTATAGTAGTTTTTGCTATCTTTTATATAAAGTGAAATCATCTGTGTTAGCATGTGTGTGGACAATACCACTGAGCTGAGCCCCACCTAATGCCTCTTTTTCTTGAATTCCAGATTGCTTACTGGGAAATATTTGATGGGTCAGTAATCAGAGAGTTGGAAGGTTCCTTGTCTGGGGCCATTAATGGTATGGACATCTCACAGGAAGGACTGCATTTTGTCACAGGTTAGTCCTGGGATAAGAAAAAACACCCAAACTTAGTTTAGAGAATGAGGAATTCCAGACAGGAGGCAATTGAAGAAATAGTAGAAGTATCTCAAGGAAGGACAAGTTGGTTCAATTCACCTTGAATATAACAGTCAGCATGGATTTAAAAAAAAAAAAAAGCCCACAGCTGGGCACTGGTGACTCATTGTAATCCTAATCCTCACTAGGATTACAGCTCTCAGATTATACAGATTATAAATCTCAGGAGGCTGAGATCTGAGGATCAAGGTTTAAAGCCAGCCAGCCTGGGCAGGAAAGTCCAGCAGACCCTTATCTCCAATTAATCCACCAGAAAACTGGAAGCGGAGCTGTGGCTCAAAGTGTTAGAAACATCAGCCGTGAGCACAAAAATTCAGGGACAGTGCCCAGGCCCTGAGTTTAACTCCGCAGACCCTACAAAAATTTGGCACATGGAGAATGTATTGAAAATGAGTTCTTGGAAATCAGAGCTATTTCTCTTCTATTGAAGCAATGTTGTTTGCCTTTTTTTTTTTTTAGGTGGAAATGACCATCTGATCAAAGTGTGGGATTATAATGAGGGTGAAGTGACACACGTTGGAGTAGGACACAGTGGCAACATCACTCGCATACGGATAAGTCCAGGGAATCAGTACATCATCAGCGTGAGCACAGACGGAGCCATTCTGCGGTGGAAGTTCCCTTTCGCTTCTTGAAGCCTGGGACCACCTCCCTGCCTTGCACCCTCGTGCACATGCTCTCACCCACCACCAAGTTTGGATAACTCCAGCCCGAGTCTTGACTTTGTCACATCTCAGGTTTTATTCCCCAGTCAAAATACTTGATCCCTAAAATGTCTTTCTTTTGTAGAATACATTTCATTCTTAAATTGTATATTAAAAAGTTGAAGTTTGTTCAGGAATACTTCAGCCAGACTGTAATTTTTTTTTAAAAGACACACAAGTAAGTTCCAAGTTATCGCTTCCTGTACAACCTCTTCAATGACACTGCAGACCCTACACATATCCCTCATGTTCTGTTCCCAGATAGAAGTGGCCTTTTGCTAGTTAATCGGAAATGAAGACTGGAGGACTTTTCTGTCTGGATTGACTTTGAACTGTGATCCTCCAGATCTTCCTGAGTGGCTAGGATGGTAGATATGAGCCATGAGTGCCTGGCTGAAATTATCTTCATTGAACAAGCTGCAAGACAAGTTTGAACCAAGATCATCTAGGGTAGTCTTTTTAAAAACTCTCGGGTTTAGTTTTTTACTTTTGTCAAGTGACTGCACATATCATGCTTAAAATTGTTGTTGTGAGAATTGAGTAAAATAATGTGATAACACATGAGCAGAATTCCCAATGCAGAAGTAAACTTGAATGTTTTCTTAAAGACACTATGCTGTTGGGGGCTTGAAATTTCATCCTAAAGATAAAATTTCAGAGATATTTTATCAGACCTGTTCCTGAACTGTTTCTTCAGTGCTTAATACCAGAAAAGTGAAGAAATGGATCATTCAACTAGGCATCTTTTTTTCCCCCCCAGAAAGGATGAATGGTGGCATTTTCCAGATACACCTTAAGACTTTAGGTCATAGTACAGTTTTCCGATCTATGTATGTATGTATGTATGTATGTATCTATCTATCTATCTATCTTGTTTTGTGTGTGTGTGTGTGTGCATGTGTATAGTTCTGGGACTTGAACTTAGGGTCTAGGCTTTGTCCTCTAGCTTTTTTGTTCAAGGCTGGCACCCTACCACTTGAGTCACAGCTCTACTTTTGGCTTTTTGGTTGTTAATTGGAGATAAGAGTCTCATAATTTTCCTGCCAGTCTGGTTTTGAACCATTGTCCTCAGATCCCAACCTCTTGAGTAGTTAAGTTTACAAGTGTGAGCCACCAGTGCCTAGCTTTGAAGCGTATCCATATCCTTTAATACTAGTGTGTGTGTGTGTGTGTGTGTGTGTGGTGTGTTGTGTGTTGCTCAGGGCTGGAAGTCTACCACTTGAGCCACAGCTTCCCATCTAGCCTTTTGGTGATTATTTGGAGTCTCAGGGCCTTTCCTGCCCAGGCTGGCTTTGAACTGAAATCCTCAGATCTCAGTGGGTAGTTAGGCTTACAGGCATGAGCCACCAGCACGTAGAATGAATTTTTTTTCTTTTTGCATCAAATAACTTCTGCAATCTGATTTGAAATCTCAAGGAGGATATTTAAATAAATGATGGCCATCTACTCAATAACAGACATTTATTTCAGTGTGTTGGTATAATACTGACTTCTGCATGCTGCTCACTCATCCTTCTTCGAGCTAGCAACTGATGAGAAATTCATTTTGCAAGACTTTCCCTGATTAATTATAAACCTTACAGTTATAGATAAAAGCAAGCAGGGTTACCTAGGGAATCTAGGGCGGGGCAAGGCCAGACCAATTCTCATTGGGCAACAACTCAGCGAGGATTTTGCGCTAACTAGGGAACAGGCCACCACGTAGGGGGCGCGCCAGAGAGGCTGAAAACTTCCTGCTGAGCATACCCGGAGCCTGGAAAGGGCAGGAACACAATGCTGGGACTCCCCAGCCGGGTCAGGTTCCGGTTTCTCTCCTTACCTGGCATGAATCAATCTGAGCCCATTTCTCCGAGACAACGATGATGATCCAGTCTCACAAGTTTTGGAACATGACTCTAATCTACTCCTTAGTTAAGAAAAAACAAACAAAAACCCAACAAAATCCTCCACCACTCTGGGTGTTTCCTCTGAGGGTGACAGGCGGGCGGCTCCGGGTTCAGGCCCCGGGGTGGCTAGTGCTCGCCCTGGCCCCCAAGGAGCAGCGGGCTGCAGAGAGGTGGCGCCACCCGACCGCGTACACCTGAGCCTGCAGAGGGCCCAGCCTTGCACGAAAGCATCCCCCCACCCCCATCCCTTCGCCACACCCTGGGGAGACTCTTCCTTTTCTGTCCCCCCCGCCCCACCCCCGTCTTCACCTGGCTGCGAATTGCAAGACATTTTGCGATAGCCAAAGGCTTTGCAATTTCCTGGGCGCTTCCGAATTTTCCATTGGCCGTCTACCTACCAGATTGGAAAGATGGGCGGGGAACGGGAGCAGAGGTGAACTGCAGGTCTGCGGGTTTAGGGAAGGAAGGGTGGGGGAACTGGACCACGTTGACTCCTGGAGCTCCTCGTCCCCCAACCCCCCTCCCCGCAGAGCGGCAGGGCAGGGATCCGGAGGGCCCTGGGGTGGCCGGCACTGCCCCGGGGGGGGCCGGCCCAGCGGCCGGATTCCCGCGCGGGGCGGGGCGGGACGAGAGGCTCCGCCCTCGGCTCCACCTCCGCCCTGGCCCCGCACACCTGGTCCGCAGGTAGCCGGCGCCGGGCGCCTTTCCGAAGCTATCAGGGCCTGGGGGTTGCCAGTGCGCCTTGGGCCGGTAGGCTCCGGGAATCGATCGGGCGGGGAGTCATGGACCCGGGCCCTGGGGACCCGGCAGGAGAGCGGCCAGCCGCGCCCCGGCCCCGCCGCCGCCGCTCCCTGCGCCGCCTGTTCAGCCGCTTCCTGCTGGCGCTGGGCAGCCGCTCCCGGCCCCGGGACTCGCCACCCCGTTCCCAACCCCAACCCCAATCCGGACACTGCGATGGCGACGGCGAGGGGGGCTTTGCCTGCGCTCCAAGTCCGGCTGTAGCAGCCCCCGGGAGCCCCGTAGCGGAGCGCCTGCTCGGACCCCCATCCCAGCTCCCCGCGGGCAATGGGGTGCGGCCGCCCGGCGCGCAGGGCTTGAAGAACCACGGCAACACCTGTTTTATGAACGCCGTGGTGCAGTGTCTCAGCAACACCGACCTGCTGGCCGAGTTCCTGGCGCTGGGACGCTACCGGGCGGCGCCGGGCCGCGCCGAGGTCACCGAGCAGCTGGCGGCGCTGGTGCGCGCGCTCTGGACCCGCGAGTACACGCCCCAACTTTCCGCCGAGTTCAAGGTAGGAAGCGCGCCGCAGACATCGCCCTAAAAAGAAGTCTTGGGAAAGGGTTTCCTTGGGACCTTGTTGCGTTAGGTGCCATGTAACCCAGCTCTGCTTGGGGTTGCCGCCTTTGTCTTTTGGGGGTGACGCGGTACGCGACTTGCATGTTTTCCCCACGAATTACTTTCGCCCAGGTATGTGGAGCGGGGGTGGAGAAAGCTGGCAGGCTTCAGTGTATTCGGCTCTGTGTGTGTGTGTGTGTGTGTGTGTGTGTGTGTGTGTGTGTGCGCGCGCGCGTTCAACCCACATTCGTGGAAGTATTGTAGGCAGGCTGGGTTCGAACGCCAGGGTTCAAGCTTTTCCACTTGGGGGCTTGGAAGACCGAGGCCTCCCGTGGAGGAAATGATGCTGGCGAGGAGAACTGACCGAGAACTCGGACGCGGCCGGCTTAGTTCTAGAAAACGATCCGGACCGAGAGATCAGCAAGTACAAAGGCCACAGAGGGCCCCAAGGAGCTGCGTGCGGGAGGCGTGGAAAGGAAAAAGAAAAAAAAAAAAACAACACCAAACACAACACTGGTGTCGCTGGGTCTTGGGAGTCTTGGCGAGGGTCGTCAGATCGGGTACGGCCTTGGGTTGGATTCTAAATCCGCGTGAGAATCCGTGGGCCAGGCACTGTGTGGAGTGTGTGTGTGGGGGGTGAGGGGGGTGGGAGGGGCAGTGGGTGTGCTATTTTAGAGGTACGTTCTTTATTTAGTTGAATACACATTAAATCTACAGTGTAGGAACGAAGGACTGAGTTTGTTATGGGTTGGGTCACTTTCTCCGTGCTGGGGTCTCTACAGAGTCTCCAGACTTGGAAGAATTGGATGTTATTTTATCCCAGGTTAAAATAATGTGTGAAAGTGATTGTGTGTGTGTGTGTTCGTGTTTGTTCTTTCAGAGGCCTAGGTGGATGAAAGTATTCCTGGTTCTTGATGCATAGGGCGTGCTGAAAAACCGCAGCTTTGGACCTGGAGTTGAGGCTCCCCATCTATGTGGAATTGTTCTGGGTTGAGGGTGGGGGTGTGTGTGGGGGAAGGGAACCTGTCAGTGCTCATTCCACAAGCATCACTGCTCTTGAATTTCAGCCCGAGAAAGCAGTCTTTGTCACGTGACCTGCAAGGATGCCAAACACCCTCTTCACCCACCCCCCCTTCCTCAGGGAGGTAGCACTGACTAGCAGTGATTTAGTGGGGTGTCTTGAAGGTCTCTCTTGGCCACTGTTCTCTTTTTAAGCAGGGGAGGCAGTATAGTGTAGTGGTTAAGAGCAAGGTCCTCTGAGGGCTTTGTGATTTTTGAGCCAGTTACTAAATTTTGCTGTGCCTCAACTGTGTTCATCTGGAGAATGGGAACTTACTGGACAGTCTTTTATTATTGGGTTGTTGCCTATAAGTTGTATATGCAGTCTGGAGGACAGTGCCTGGTCCCTGTTTTAGGTTAGACCTCTTCACCTGCAGAGAATTAGAGGAGGGAGGAAGGTAATTCCTGAGTTTTCTTGCCAAATGCACTCCCACCCAGTTACTATAGCCTGGAGAGAGCTGAGTAGTTGAGAGAAAAGAAAAGAAAAGAAAAAACCCTCAAATTAGTAATCAGTCATTGAGTGACTCACCAGGATTTCCTAACCAGCTGTCAAATCCCTAGTTTGGGAGCTCCTTGGTTAGCCCTAGGGAATTGATGGGTAATTGAGTTGTTTTTAATATGTTAATGAAGTAGATAGCATCTGGGGTTTCCTGGGATTTTGACAAGATTGAATGGTTAGGAGGAAGATTCCTCACTCTGGGTCTTTAAGCGTTAGGGATTGAGATCTGATTGAGATCATCCTATTTTACCTGTGTTTAAACATTCATCCATACCACACATTCTTATAGACCTTGGAGACTACTGTTGGGAATGTGGGGTGTGAGACAACTACAAATCCAGATCCTGAGGCTATCTCAGAACTACCTTTGTCCAGGGAGAAGGGAGTATGCTCATGAAAATGATTGTTACAGGCACAGGACTAGAACTTGTGACACGCTAGAGAAACGAAAAAATACAAGGTGTTTTGACAGTTGATGGGAGGAGGATGGGTTTTGATTGAGCCGAAGCTGGCTTTCCTGGGAGGCATCCAACAATTGGGTTTGGGTTTTGAAGAAAAATGTGTCAACTCAGGACATGGAAGATGGGAAAGTGCTCTCCAGCTCCTGGGAATGGAAAGTGCCAATCACAGAGGTTGGGTGGGGCTGAGAGGCCTACCAAGTACTTTAATGGAAGTACTTATTCTTGATAAGTAAAAGTTGAATTAGCTGGACACCAGTGGCTCAGGTCTGTAATCCTAGATACTTGGGAGGTTGAGATCTGAAGATTGTGCTACTAGGCCAGTTTAGGCAGATAAGTTCATGAAACTCCCTTCCCAACCCATAGCTGCGTCCAGTGGCATGCATCTGTAATCTTAAACTATATGGAAGGTTTGGTCCAGGGTTCAGGTGAGCCTTGGCAGAAAAATTCATGAGACACCATTCGAGGGAGGAAAGCTGGACATGGTGCCTGGAGCCTGCTGTCTCAACTACAACAGAAAACTCACAATAATTGCATTGTGGTCTAGGCCAGGAAGCCACATCCTATTTTTTTTTTTAAATAGTAAACAGCAATAGGGCTTGGGGATGGAGGGGGGTTGATTAAAATACATTGCATACATGTGTGGAAATGTCACAATGAATTTCCTTCTTGTATAGCTCATGTACACTTTAAAAACCCCAACAAACCAGGGTTAGCAGCTGTGGCTCAGCAGTAGAGGGCCTGCCTAGCAGACTAGCAAGTGTGAGACACTGAATTCAAACCCCAGGCCCCACCCCAAAGTGTATATTTACACTGAACAGCATGAGTTTTGATATATGTATCCATGGTGAAATGATTAATTCAAGCTAGTTAACATCCACCAAACTTTCATACTTAACATTTTTTGTGTATGTAATGAGAACACTTAAGGCCTATTTTCCTTTCATTTTCCAAATATATAATACATTATTCATTATAGTCACCATGCTGTGTAATAGATTTCTGTGACTTATTGAACAAAAAGAAATCACACCTTTTTTTTCTTTTGATTTCTTTGATTAGGAGCAAGGAGAAAGATTTCCTTTTTCCTTTTTGTCTAGTTTGCTCTTGGAACTGTCTCTTCATGTTTGTGTGTCCATTCTATTATTTATCTATTGTTTCTCTTCTTTCTCTCCCCCCACCCTCCTTCCTTTTTTCCTTCCTTCCTTCCTTCCCATTTCTCTGTGTAGGCCAGGGTAACCTTGAATTTAAGGTCCTTCAGCCCCAGCCTCCCAAATGTAGATCTGCTTTTGTCTTAATATTCCTTTGATTTTTTTTCTCTTACATTTCTCAGCCTTTGCCATAATTGCTACAAACATTTTCTCCAGATCATCTTCTTTTCCCCAGTTCTGGAAGCTTTGGATTTATTTATGTCAGATCTTTTGATAAATATTCTATTTTATGTCCTTTCTATAGTTTTCTATGGTTATATTAAGGGTTTCAGCCATCTGGAATTTATCTTAGCTTATGTGCATAAAATCAAATTTAGATCTACAGTGACGTGCTAGAGGCATTGCTTTTTAAAAAAACAAGGATTCCTTCTTCATTTGTCTTGTGTTTTAGTAGCTCAAAACAAAACAAAAAATGGAGCAAAAAACATGGAACAGGGAAAAATGCAAAATGGTTCTAGGAATCTGTATTTTAGAATTATTGCTGTGATTCATGAGGTTAGATACAATGTAGAAAGTTAAAAGCAACAACCATTTAGAGCATATTAAAAGTTAGGTTTCATGGGTGCTTGTGGCTTATACCTGTAATCCATGCTACACAGGAGACTGAGACATGGAGGATCAAAGTTTGAAGTCAGCCTTGGTAGAAAAGTCTGAGAGACTCCATCTTCAATCAACCAGCAAAATACTAGGTGGAAGACATGTCTCGGTGGTACAAGCAAATCAACCAACCAACCAACCAAACGAACAAACAAACATATAAACAAATTCATTTATAAAATCTGGAAATATGAAATATGCTAAAATTATCAATATTTGAGAGAGGAAAAAACAACATATGTGCACAAATAGAACCATGTCATATTATAGGATAGAAATACCAAATATTGGGTGGACACTGATGGCTCACACTTGTCATCCCAGCTGCATGGAAGGCTGAGGTTGAGTAGATCATGGTTCGGGGCAGCCTAGGGAATAATATTTTTTTTTGTCAGTTGTGGTGCTTGAACTCAGGGCCTAGGCACTGTTCCTGAGGTCCTTTGCTCAAGGCTAGAACTCTATTACAGCCCTACTTATGGTTTTCTGGTGGTTAATTGGAGATGTATCTCAAGGACTTTCCTGCCTTAGCAAGCTTTGACCCTTGATCCTCAGAGCTCAGCCTCCTGAGTAGCTAGGATTACAGGCATTTAGCCACCAGCACCTATCATAGGGAATAAAAGTTTTTATTGCTCAAGTCTAGATCTCTACCACTTTGAGCCACGTCGTCACATCTGATTTTCTGGGGATTAATTGGAGATAAGAGTCTCACAGAAGCTGAGCACCGGTGGCTCACACCTGTAATCCTAGCTACTCAGGAGGCTGAGATCTGAGGATCGTGGTTCAAAGCCAGCCTGGGCAGGAAAGACCGTGAGACTCCTATCTCCAATAAACCACCAGAAAACCGGAAGTGGCACTGTAGCTCAAGTGGTAGAGCGCTCACCTTGAGCTGAAGAGCTGAGGGACAGCGTCCAAAACCAGAGTTCAAGCCCTATGACCAACAACAACAACAAAAAAAGAGTCTCACAGATTTTCCTGCCTGGGCTGGTTATAAACCACAGTCCTTAGACTTCAGCCTCCTGAGTAAGTAGGATTACAGGCATGAGCCTCGGGCACCTGGCTGGAAGAAAAGTTTTTGAGTTATCTTGTCAATTGAGAGTTGTATGTGGTGGTATGAGATTTGAACTCAGGACTTGTGCTTACTAGGCATCTGAGCTATGTCCCCTGTCCTTAAACTACAATGTTTAAGATCATCTTGTATCAATGCATTTAATAAGATGCCATTTTCCCCTGATAATTTTGATACGCCGAAGTATTTTTGCTTGTGTATAAGTTTCCATAAGCCTAGCCTAGAAAGTGTTTTTATATAGAATGACCCTTGTGTGTGTGTGTGTGTGTGTGTGTGTGTGTGTGTGTGTGTATGTGTGTACATGTGCACGTGTGCATGCTTGAATTTAGAGATTGGAGCTGGTCCTGAGTTTTTTGCTCAATGCTAGTGCTCTATCACTTGAACCAAAGCTCCATTTCTGGTTTTTTTGGTAGTTAATGGGAGATAAGATCTCATACACTTTTCTGTCTAAGCTGGTTTTGAACCGCAATCCTCTGCTCTTGAGCCTCCTGTTAGGAATATAGGAAGAACAATTGTCCTAGGAGGGCCTTTTTCTTTTCTTTTGGTTGGTCCTGGGACTTGAACTCAGGACTTGGGTGCTGTCCCTGAGCTTCCCCCAACCCCCAACCTCCCCTCTAATATAGTGTTCTACCATTTTGAGCCACAGATCGACTTCTGGTTTTTGGGTGGTTCATTAGAGATAAGAGTCTCACTGATTATCCTGTCTTGGCTGGCTTCAAACCATGATCCTCAGATCTCTGCCTCCTAAGTAGCTAGGTTTATAGTCATGAGCCACTAACACCCCACCAGGAGGGACATTTTCAAGGTCTTGTCTTGTAGCCAGGCTAACAAGTAGAGAACCAGTCTTAGAGAATTATCATGATCAGCTGGAGGGTACTGGATTTCACAGGCAGGGGAGGAGGGAGGTGCAGGTATAGACCACAGAAACCGGCAGACCAGATCAAGGTGTGGCATGTTTATTTGAAGCTTCGAAACCTGTAAGCAAACAGATAGAAGGTGTGGATTAGGGCCAGAATGGAGGAGTTTGGACTGTTGGGAGATGATTTGGAGAGTAAGGATGGATTCAGAGCAACTGCTGGGTTGTTCTACCATGCACACTGGGCCCTCAGAGAAAGATGCGCTGGGCAAGCTCCTCCTTAGGTACAGGTTCTCTGGGTCAGGTTTAGTTAGAACAGAACAGTAAGAGTTAGAATGAACTCTAGAGGAGGAGCAGAGGCCTTTTGGGGGCTGGAATCCAGTCTGCTTAACAACTGATTTGGCAGCTGCTGATGGGAGGGAGATTGGGAAAGATACATTAAGACAGAGGGCTGGTTTTAGAGCTTCTAAGTTAGAGGGACACTGGCTGTTCATCCAGACGAGAATGTCAGTACTAGGAGATAGGTTTGAGGGTGGCTTGCTGGTAGGACTGTCAGCTAAAATGCAGGTCTCAGTTGATTTTGAATTTTACCATTTTCAAGTGTATAATACACTATTATTAATTAAAGTAGCCGTGCTGTGTAATAGATCTCAGTAAATTGTTAGTTTATTGAACAAAAAAGAATAATACCTTGTTTGTATTTGTTTGATGAAAGGCCAGCTACACACCATTGTAGGCAGATAAATAATGAATATGCTTTGAGAATAAATATGCTCCAAAAATTGCATGAGGGCATACTTCTTTTAAAACAATCATTGCTTATTTGAAATTGAAACTTAACTGGATATGCTCTTTTGTTTTTTTAACTTTTTTATGTTAGTACTGAGGCTTGAATTCCAGGCATGAACACTGCCCCTTTGCTTTTTTAACCTGTTATGTACTTATTTGTTGTCTTGCTTATCTGTCCTTATGCTTTCTGCTAAAGGCTAGTACTCTACCACTTGAGCCACAACTCCACTGCTGTCTTTTTGTTGGTTAATTGGAGATAAGTGTCTTGTAGACTTTTCTACCCAGGTTGGCTTCTTATGTCAGTCCTCCGATCTTAGCCTCCTGAATAGTTGGGATTACAGGCATGAGCCTGCAACACCTGGCTTGTTCTGTGTCTTGGAGATGGGGTAAAGTGGGCAGTGCTAGGGATGAAACCCAGGACCTTGTATATCATAAGCCAAGAATTCTGCCATTGAGCTACATGCTTACTCCTGTGTTTCCTTAATTCCTATGTGGGAGTCAAAGTGCAAAGAAGTTTAGGGTGGAAATCCCAAGAAAGATGATTGGCATACAGATGCAGAAACAGCATTTCAATTGATTAGATTTGAAATTTTGCTTCAACTCATCCTAAAATTTCCTATTTCCAGGGAAGATTAAAATTCAGGCTGTTTTATTGGATTGATAGTGATGTGAATTATCCTGGTGTCTGGCCTTGTATGAGCAAAGAACAGACCTGCTTGGGATGAGGCTGGAAGCCTGGCTGGCTCCACCATCTGGGAGTGGAGGCCTGGCTCTGCAGTCTAAGGGTGGAGGCTTGATGCTGCCATCTACCAGTGGACATTTGGCCATAATGGACTGTGAACACATGTCTGTGTGTATACAGACATAGGGACCTTGTATACTCAGGGGAAAAATAAAGCCTCTAGAAAGGTGCTCATGGAGCTGCTGAGAATCCTACGTTTTTGGAAGGTGCCCCCAGAGAAGGGATGAGAGACTCTTATATAGTATTGCAATGCTAACCTTTAGAATAAACTTTCAAAAGCAGAAATAGGCATTGACACAGAAAAATGACAAAGTTGTTGCACAATTTAGCAAATGCCAAGACAAAAGGAGCTGGGAAGTCTTGTTTTGTTTACTTTTGTAGGGCCTGGGGTAGGGGTGGGGGTGGGGGAATGAAGGACTGGCTCAACCTTTTCATTATCTAACCACAGAAAGCAAAGTTTGTATTGTAACTTTTGAACCTTTGTGTGGTCCTTACTTTTTTTTTTTCCTCTAGGGGGTGGGGGCACTCTGCCCCTTGAACTACAGCTCTACTTTTTGTTCAGTTTCATTTTGGTGGTTAATTGAAGATAAGAGTCTCAGGGCTGGCTTTGAGCCTTGATCCTCAGATCTCAGCCTCCTGAATACCTAGGATTAAAGATGTGAGTCACTGTTTCTCAGTAGTATTTTTACAGTTTCATAAGTGAAATGACTGGAATGGAGCCACTTATATATGTATTTTAGGAAGTCAACTTTGCTACAAGTATGATCCACTCTCAAAGAAGAAAGAGTGGATGCTATGGAAATGAAAGAAACAAGAGAGGGAGATAGGGAGAGTAGATAGATACCAGCATGGGGATAGAGTATTGGAGGGAGGGCCAATGGCCACACAATACCAGCCATCAAAGAACGCAAGCTTTACGGAAGATAGATGGTTAGTAAATTCAAAATATTTAACAGAGGTCTGGTGTTGGTCACTCATGCCTATTATCCTGGCTACTTAGAAAGCTGAAATCTGAGGATCATGGTTCGAAGTCAGACTGCAGGAAAGTCCATGGAACTCTTATCTCCAATTAACTACCAAAAAGCTGGAAGTTGAGCTGTGTTTCAAGTGGTAGAGTGCTAGCCTTGAGCAGGAAATACTCAAGGACAGTGCACAGGCTCTGAATTCAAGTCATACTACTAGTGCATGCTTCCAGCCCTTCCCCCCTCCCCCCCCAATACAAATAAATTCCACAGAGATAATCCCTTGCCTTTCAAGGGCTAGAATCTAATACTGATTTCTGAAAAAGGGGCCTTCTATTCAGAGAAACTTTATAGCAGATGGGGGGCAAGAGTCAGTCAAAAAGAGCATTTCTAGCTGGGTGTCATCCCAGACTGCTGCTGAATGATGGATGACCCTGGGTAGTGTAGTGCATATGGACATTCATTAGGGAGTCTCCATGCCAAGGTGACCCCAGGGTTCATTTCTTCCCTTACAGAATGCTGTTTCCAAGTATGGCTCTCAGTTCCAAGGCAACTCCCAACATGACGCCCTGGAATTCCTGCTCTGGCTGCTGGATCGTGTCCATGAGGACCTGGAAGGCTCGTCTCGTGGTCTGGGGACTGAGAAGGTTGGTCACTGGCAAAGCAACACATTGTATGGCGTTTCTTCTTCTTTGGATATTTACTGAACTCCTGGATTCCTGTATCTGCTTGCTACTGGATGCACAGTGCTATTATTCCCCCGCTTCCTTCTTTTAGCTCTTGTTTGTTTTAGGTGAGGCATTTCCTCTTCTTGTATTTCTCCTCTTCCATAACCCCAAATAGTGAAAAGGGTTTTGTTTCGGTTCATAATTTCAAAACTCTTCTTTCTTGCTTTCCCCCTTGTATCTTCCATGCATTAGTCTGGCCATCTGAGGCCATGAGGGGCAATTTTTTATTCTTTTTAGATAGTCCTGATCTAACTCCACCATTGCTTTCTTAGTGATCGTGTCCCCTCCCCCAGTGGCAATTCTAAACTATTTTCTCCAAGATGTAGGATGTCTTTTGCATGTGTGTACTAGTATTTCCTTTTCCTTTTTTTTTTTTTTTAACGACTTTTGGGACAATACATTGAAAAAGCTATAAATAAGCTGGAATGGCAAGCATTTCTGGTTTTGATTCAATCCCTGACCTTCAGAATGAGAAAAGCATTAGTCTTTGTCACTACCATAGTTAATCCATATATTAGCTATGTTCTTTTTCAACTTTGCTACATAAGGACCAATAATGACTTACGCTTGAATGTGATCACTTTATCTCCTGCTTAAAGATGTAAAAAAAAAAAAACTAAGGACGTTGTATCTTTTTGTGTGTGTGTGTTTACTGGCACATAAAGTAATGAAAACAAAAAAAACGGTGGTTAAACCTAACTAAATCTGGAAGGATCATCTTCAGATGAGGGTTGTGGGTTGTAGGTGAATTCTCTATTGATCTTATTCAGGCCTTTTTAGTTGTTAGTGGCAGAAATTTAACTGATCCAACTGAAGGAAAAGACATCAGTTGGCTTTCATAATCTGTTGAGGCCAGTGGTTGAAGCAGCTTCAGATAGGTTTGGATGAAGCGACTCTGATCATGTCGCTGTGTCTTTAGTACTTGTCTCTGGTGACATTCTCACCCTGACTGCCTACATGGCAGCAAGAAGTTCCTTCTGCAATTTTCATCTCATTTTTAGAGCCTTGAATTTCCAGAAAAGGCCCAGGGAAAAGCCTGATTATCCTAGCTTGGTTTGTGTGTTAGTTCCTGGAAACATGACTGAGAGAATGAAATATTCTGAGTGGGCCCACCTGGGTTACAGGTCTTAGTGGTGGTGATTGGAGGCTAAGGGGGCTTTTGTTTTGGTCAGTCATGGGGCTTGAACTCAGGGCCTAGGTGCTATCTCTGAGCTCTTTTGCTCAAGGCTAGTGCTCTACTGCTTTGAGCCACAGCACCACTTCTGATTTTTCTGGTGGTTTAGTGGAGATAAGAGTCTCACAGAGGGCTGGGAAGTTGGCTCAGTGGTAGAGCGCTTGCCTTGCATGTATGAGGCCCTGGGTTCGATTCCTCAGCACCACATAAGCAAAAAGAAAAAAGCCGGAAGTGGCGCTGTGGCTCAAGTGGTAGAGCGCTAGCCTTGAGCTGAAGAGCTGAGGGACAGAGCCCAGGCCCAGAGTTCAGGCCCCATGACCGGACCCAAAAAAAAAAAAAAAGAGTCTCACAGATTTTCCTACCCAGGCTGGCTTTGAACCTGCTGAATAACTAGGATTATAGGTGTGAGCCACTGGCGCCTGCTCTAGGGCGCTTTTATAGCATTAGAATTATTTGCTTACCCAAAGACTGTAATCTTAAGCAGATAAATGCATGCCTTTTATGCTGTATCCTCTATAAATTTAAGTGATCACATTCTGAACATTGGAATTATATATGTGTGTGTGTGTGTGTGTGTGTGTGTGTGTGTGTGTGTGTGTGTGTATGTATACATACATTTTTTTAAAAGACAGTCTCATAGGCCAGGCTGAGAACTTGCTTTATAGCCTAGGAACTTGCCATATAACCCAGACTAATCTTGAACACATCATTTTGCATTTGCTTGGATTACAGGTATGTGCCACAATGTCTCACACTATATACATGTGTATATATATATATATGTATATATATCCATACATATGTATAAATACACATATATACATATATATATATACATAGTATTTACTGAATTTTCTCCTCCCAGCAAAGCCTAAGTTCGAACTCAGGGCCTTGTACTTGTTAGGTAACTACTCTATGGCTGAGCCACATATCCAGTCTTCCTTTACATGGATCGTTTTTGAGATAGAGTCTTACTTCCTGTCCAGTAAGGGCCTGGACTTCGATCCTTCTATTTTTTGCTTCCCACTGAGGCTAGAATGACAAGTTCAAACCACCATTTCTAGTTATTGGTTGACAGATAAGCCTGTCTTACATGACTGGGCAGGATCTTCTCCATCTCAGGCTTCCAAGTAGCTAGGTCTTCCTCCTTTTTTTTCTTCCTTTCTGTAGTGAAAAGAGTCAAACCCAGTGCTTCACACATAGTCTAGGTGAATGCTCTATCACTGAGTTCCAGTCCTATGGAGCTTCATCCAATTGACACAGCTATAATATTCTCCATAGTGCAGTGAGATGTCTTCACAAAGGAAGTAAGATCATGTCACTCTTGCTTACATTGCTCCAGTGTCAGCTTCTTTTCAGTGCGGAAGAATGAACTCAGTTCTTCCGCTATGCTAAACCTTCAACCCCTCCAGTTGCTTCTTTTTTTATTTTTTGCCAGTCCTGGGGCTTGAACTCAAGGCCTGGGCAGTATACCTGAACTTTTTTTTGCTCAAGGCTAATACTTTATGCCACAGCACCACTCCTGGCTTTTTCTGTTTATGTGGTACTGAGGAATTGAACCTATGCTTCACGTGTGCTAGGCAAGCACTCTACCACTAAACTATATTCCCAGCCCTCCAGTTGTTTCTTATTGCATACAGGACAAAATCTAGACTCTTATGTGGCAGACAAAGGCCAACCTGACTGGGCCTGGCAACCAGTCAGCCCGATTCATTTTCTTGCTCACCAAACCAGCTACTTTCTGTGCCATAGTTGGGGCAAGGGGTTAGAAATAGGGCACCCCATAGGCTGTTCCAGGAATTATCTGTTGGCAAAAGAAGAGCTTACTCAGCGCTTCCTTGTACCTTATAAAACCAGGAAACATTTTCTGTCATGGGATGAAGCCTGTGGTGAAATTTGGTCTCAGGAAATTGGACTGGTTCTGGAGGCCTAGTGGTATGCATTTTTTTCTTTTTTTTTTTGCCAGTCGTGGGGCCTGAACTCTGGGCCTGGGTGCTGTCCCTCAGCTCTTCAGCTCAGAGCTAGCGCTCTACCACTTGAGCCACAGCGCCACTTCTGGCTTTTTTTTTTTCTGCTTATGTGGTGCTGAGGAATCGATCCCAGGGCCTCATGCATGCAAGGCAAACACTCTACCACTGAGCTACCTTCCCAGCCCTGGTGGTGTGTATTTGCAGGTAGAGAGCAGAGCTCTTTGGATCACTTGGCATGAAACTTTCTTTTCCCTTTCTGAGAAGGAAAAGCGACTGCCCTCAGCGTCACTCTGAGAGATTTTTCTTTTTGAAGTTATTTCTGTTTTGAGGACAGAGAAAAGCCATATAGCTAGATTTATTTGTAACCCGGAGAGAAAACACGAGGACCACTTTCTTTTCCATTACTTTAACGATCCTTGAATGTTTTCATCCCACCAAAAGGTATATTTTTACTCCCCTGTAAACACCAACACATAAAGCAATCTTTTCGGCAGTTTGTTTTCCAGAAAATGCCACTTTTCAGAAGAAAGAAAGAGATGGAGCTGGGGCAAAGACCAGCAAATGAACATGCACGAAGCACCTACTATGTGCTAGGCAGAAGGCACACACCTTCCATGTGGCAGGGATGCTATTTTTTATTTATGTTTTTTGCCCGTCCTGGAGGGGCTTGAACTTAGGGCTTGGGCGCTATCCCTGAGCTTTTGTGCTCAAAGCTAGTGTTCTACCACTTGAGCCACAGCTCCACTTCCAGCTTTTGGGCAATTCATTGGAAATATAGTTTTGGGAATTTTCCTGCCTGGACTGGCTTTGAACCATAATCCTCAGATCTCTACTTCCTGAGGAGTGAGCCATTGGTGCCTTGCATGGGCATACTCTTTCAGGGTGGTTCTGGCACAAAGGGTGTCGCGGAAGGAAGCATTTCAAGGACAAGGCTCCACAGAAACTGGCAAGGGGAGGCTGTGGGTGCACGGAGAGGCAGCTGAGTGACCAGAGGTAATGTGGCTGGGTCTCATTTGCTTCTTGTCCTTGTTTCCTTTGCAGGTACCTCCTGAAGGTCGCAGAGCCTCCGAGAGCCTCCTGTCCCCACCTGCCCAGCTTTCTCTAGGCCCCAGCTTTGTGCAGAGTCATTTCCAGGCCCAGTACAGGTGAGGGGATAGGCCTGGAATGTGGCGCCCAAGGATTCCACCAGCTTGCTGCTGTTCTTCTCTCTGTCTCTCTCCAACATTTACCCTCTGATGATGAAGCAGCAAGGCCTATGAGCACCCTCCTCTTTCCCATCACAAGCCCAGTCATCCACTTTGATTGGCTATGACTTTTAATGTTTCTTCTTGGTTTTTGGAGCCTTCTACCTCTCTCCCCTCCTCCTTATCCCCCCTCCCCCCCACGAAGGGGGAGTGGTGGAAGGCAATCCCTATAGAACAAGAATGTGGAGGTCACATTCACAAAGAATTCACAAAGAATGACTACTTTCGGGCTGGGTAGATGTGTCCTGTGTGGCCAGGCAGCTCAGTGGAACTAGTCATTCTGAGTTTGAGTTCCTATAGTATGAGGATACAAAAATTAAAATTAAAATATGGTTTTATGAGACCTTCTAGCCTTCTTTTCTTTCATTCTGATACTAGGGATTGATTGAACTCAGGGCCTCATGCTTGCTAGGCACTTTTTTTTTTTTGAGTTATCTCTTCTACACTAGCCTTGGAATGTAATTTTCCTACCTCTTTCTCTCAAGTTGCTGGGACTATAGACATACACCACCTTGTCCACCTTGCTTTTGAGCTAGGGTCTTGATCATTTTTTTGTGTCTTGAAATATGGCCCTTCTATGTGTCTCCTGAGTCATTGTTCATCTGCAGAAGTACTCACACGAAGCAGAATAGTTTCAAGAACTACAATGTTTAGTGTTCAGTGAAAGTATTTGAAACCATGAGAGGGAAAAGAAGAGAAAGTTTCTTTTGTGGGCTTCTTGGAGGAGGTGTGCTTTTGGATGGGTTCTAGAGGGTGAATAGGACTCAGTGGGTGGGAATATATTGAACCAGTACAAACCAGAAGCTAAAGGTGGAGTTCCAGGGAAAAAGGCCCAGGAAGGGGATTACAGAGGGTAAAGCAGGGTATGGTGTGGTTCATCAATATAGAGGACTCTGGTTATTATGAGGGATGGAGGGAAGTAGTGAGGATGTAGGGATGATGGTGGCTGAAAACTTGGAGTGTGATTTGGAGGTAGAGTCACTAAGAGTTGCAAGAGGTATGGGTGTAGAGGTATGAGGTAGAAGAGTTGAGAAAAATGAGAACCTTGGGGGCACCTCGGGGTTTGTGTGTGTGTGTGTGTTTTGTCAGTCATGAGGCTTGAATTCAGGGCCTGGGCGCTGTCCCTGGGCTCTTTTGCTCAAGGCTAGCACTCTACCACTTTGGGCCAAAGCGCTACTTCCGGTTTTTGAGTGGTTAATTGGACATAAAAGTCTTGGGGGACTTTTCTGTCTGGGAAGGCTTTGAACTGTGACCCTCAGGTCTCAGTCTCCTGAGTAGCTAGGAATACAGGCGTGAGCCACCAGTGCCCCACGGACCCTAAGGTTTTAATGAAAGTATTATTGATTAACCACATGTGGTGGAAAGTGCCTGTAATCCCAGCTCCTTAAGAGGTGGAGATCTGGGAGGCTCACAGCCAGTCTGGGAAACTTCATCTTGACCAATATGCCAAATGTGGTGGTGCATGTCTGTGGTCCCGGCAGAAGGCCTAAGTAGTAAGATCTTGGTTTGAGCTGCCTTCCTCACCTCCATTAGGAAACTAACTAAAGCAGAACAGGGTTGGGGCAGTAGAGGCCCTGCCCCATAAACTTAAGGCTTTGAATTTGAAACTAGATTCTCCCACCCCTTCCAAAAAAGAATGTTATTGATGAAGGGCTTTGGAGGGAAAATTAGAGATGCTTTGAAGTCCATATTGCAGGTACCTGACTTGGGATGGGGTCCCCTAATCACGTGTGAAGGGTGAGCTGTGCCCTTGAGGGAGATTTCTCTCCTGCAGGAAGCTGAGAAAGAGGCGAGGTGTTCGTGCTCAGAATGGACTGGAGATGGCTAAAAATACTGCTTTGAGCTGGAAGTCCACGGCAAAGTGAAAGTGTCATTATGATCCCAGGTGTTTGAGGTTTCCTTCAGCCTTGGTGGTGGCCGCTCTAAGCTGGTGCCCTTGAGTGGTGGGCCCTGCTGCCTCTTCCCCATTTCCGTACAGGAGGCTCACCAGGGATCAGATTAACCTTCCTCATGGAAGTGGGGATGGATGGGTAATGGTAGCTTAGCACCTGTGCTCTGAGCTACTTCTTCCTCTGTCTCCCTTTAAGCTTTGCCCCAACTCCCCTGGGTGTTGAGGACTAAGCCCAGGGCCTCTCCATGCCAGAGATTTATGCAAAAGCAAAGTTGCCTCTCTACCTTCTTTTGGATCTGTTGGTCACACTCATCTTCATTTTTCAATCTTTGAGAAACAGAAGTTGTTTTGATAGTTTACTTGGAGAAAAACTAGGTTTTCTTTTTCTTCCCCCCCCCCCTTATTTCTGGGATTTGAACTCAGGGCTGCATGTTTGCTAAGCAGGCATTCTGCCATTGAGCTATTCTGTCAGCCACTTTTGTGCTGGTTATTATTATGGGTCGGGCCTCTGTCCCTGAGTTCTTTTGCTCAAGGCTAGTGTTCTACTACTTTGAGCCACAGTACCACTTCTGGTTTTCTGGTAGTTAAGTGGAGATAAAAGTCTCAGGGACTTTCCTGCCTAGGCTGGCTTTGAACTATGATCCTCAGATCTCAGCCTCCTGAGTAGCTAGGATTACAGGTGTGAGCCACTAGTGCCCAGCATAGCTCATTCTTTATGTTCCCCTACTTCTTCTTTGACCAAACATCTCTTGCTTCTTGACTCTGGTTAGGGGTTAACATAAAGGTCATATCCTTGGACCAACTCATGAGAAAAAAAAAAAGCAATCTGGCTTAATCTTCATAGGCTAGAAAAAATGAAGAAGTCAACAAAAAAAAATTCTCTATCATTTGTCTGCATAAATGTGAAATGGAGATTTGGAAATTTTCCAAAGACAAAAATGTATCTTTAAAGCCATTTTTATGCCTAGGTAGGCAGTGAGGTAGTGGAGGGGAAATATTTGTGGGGGTCTAACACAAATGCTGCATCCTGATATGCTGCTTTTACCAAAGCATCACTGTGATTGTTCCTAGGGTAAGTCTACCAGAGGGCACTTTGAACATAAAGCTCTTGGGGACTGGAGGTCGAACTCAGTGGAGGCTGCTTGCCTAGTGGGCACAAGGCCTAAGTTCACCATTGATTTCTTTTTTTAAAATTTCTGGTCAGTCATGGGGCTTGAACTCAAGGCCTGGATGCTATCCCTAATTTTTTTTTTTTTTTTGCCAGTCATGGGGCCTGAACTCTGGGTCTGGGCGCTGTCCCTCAGCTCTCCAGCTCAAGGCTAGCGCTCTACCACTGGAGCCACATTGCCACTTCCGGCTTTTTCTGTTTATGTGGTGCTGAGGAATCGAACCCAGGGCCTTATGCTTGCAAGGCATGCACTCTACCGCTGAGCTACCTTCCCAGCCCTATCCCTAAGTTCTTTCGCTCAGGGCTAGTACTTTGAGCCACAGATCCATTTGTGGCTTTCTGGTGGTTAATTGGACTTTCCTCCCTGGGCTGGCTTTGAACCATGTTCCTTATATCTCAGCCTCCCAAATAGCTAGCATTACAGGCGCTGATGAATTCTGATGAAGTACATTCGTTTGGAGAATTTGTGTCCCAGAGTTTAGTAGCCAGGAGCAGACCGTTGGGATTTAGCATCCCTTTCTGGTGTTTCTTGTTTTGTCTGCTTAGTGGAAAGTGGAGAAGCAGCTCAGGTGCGTGAAGATGGGAAGGGATGCTCCAGCGCCTCCACACACACAGCAGTGTTCTCACATACCGAAGGCCTGCCGGGCTGTCTTCTCCCCGGTGCAGGGACTCAGCCCTGGTCCTGATGCCTTCTCTTCTTTCCTGCTGCTCAAACCTAGTCAGGCCACCTGGGTTACAGGAAGAGCCTGTTACCAAGCTTGGGCTCTTGTCTCTGAGGAAGTGAATACACATTTTTTGGAACAGTAACATCGTATTCAGAAATCCCTTTTATATTGGATGAATATGTAATTAAGGAAACATAATCAGAGCACTCACGTGGAACGTACAGTCTGCACTTTTAGAGCTCCCAGATAAAGCAAAGGAATGTTCTGTTGGAAAGAAAGACTAAGATAGAACTTACATCTACCCGGGAAAAGGCTGTGCTGCACTTGTACTGAAGGATACAGGAATGGTAACCAGGGACTCCGGAAATACCTCACTCTGTCACTTAAGAGCCCTGGCTACAAATTACTTCTCTGAGCTTCAGGCCTCTCTTTTATAAAATGGGAACAATACTAGTTGTTGATGGGCATTTGAATTTATTCTACCTTTTCAGTCTTGTGAACAGGTTGCTATAAGTATCAGTTGAACACCTGCTTTTTTTAAAAAGTTGTTATTTATTTGGTCCTAGAGCTTGAACTCAGAGCCTGGGCACTCTCCCTGAGCTTTTGTGCTCAAGGTTAGTGCTCTACCACTTGAGTCATAGCTTCACTTTGGCTTTTTGGTGATTAACTGGAGTTTAAAAAAGTACATGATCCTTAAGCCAGGCACTGGTGGCTTACGCCTATAATCCTAGCTACTCAGGAGGCTGAGATCTAAGGATCATGGTTCAAAGCCAGCTGGGGAAGGAAAGTCCTGGAGACTCTTATCTCCAATAAAACCACTAGAAAAGCAGAAGTGGCGCTGTGGTTCAAGCAGTAGAGGCTTGCCTTGAGCTGAAGAGGGCAGGGACAGTGCCCAGGCCCAGAGTTCAAGCCCCACGACTGACAAAAAAACAAACAAAAACCAAAACATGATCCTCAGATCTCAGCATCCTGAGAGGCTTGGATTACAGCTGAACACTTGTTTTTAATTCTTACCAGAGTATACCTAAGAGTAGAGTTGGGAAGGGAAACACAAGGGTATTTCTATATTTAGCTTTCACTTTCCAGGGGGTTTTGTGTAATTACATCTCTGCTTTGTCTCCACAGATCTTCCCTGACTTGTCCCCACTGCCTGAAACAGAGCAACACCTTCGATCCTTTCTTGTGTGTTTCTCTTCCCATCCCCTTGCGCCAGACAAGGTACATGAGTGTCACTAGAGAAATGTTCTTTTCCATTGCGAAAGTATGGGAAAATGATTTATTGAAGGAGCAGAGATGGAGAGATAGGCTCTGTGGAGATCGGTGGTCTGGGTTATATAAGAAGCAGGAGGCTCAGCTTAGTAGCCATCAAGGAATTGCCTAATGTCAGTGTCAGAAGCTTGGAACATTAGTGCATTTGCAATGGGTAGTGTCACTGGTTTGACATGGAGGTATTTCTTTATTGTATCCCCGCTTCCTTTAGTACCATTTCTCCCACACTCCCCTTTTGACATCCTCTGTGTTTAGGATGTAGTGGAAGCTACAATATTCTCATAAAGCCTTCTCTGAATTAACCCCATAAACATCCTCTCCCCTCTCCCCCTTCCCTTTTTTCTTTTTCAGTACTAGGAGTTTAAACTCAGGCCCTCATGGTCTACCACTTAAGCCAGTCTTTTAATACACTGGTTATTTCTTTTAGATAGGATATTGCTTTTTGCCTGGATTGACCTGGACCATGATTCCCCTATTTTTACATCTTGCTGTAAATGGGAAATCAGGTGTGTACCACCATTTCCACCTTTTTTTTTTCCTGTTTACTTTGGCTGGCCTCAAACCATGATTCTCCTTAACTCTGCCTCCCAAGTAGCTGGGGTTACAGATATGCCACTTGGCCTGATTCTTGAAGCACAGTTGTTAAGATTGCAGACTGTAGGGCAGACTCCGCAATTCAGATCTCAGCTGTACAATTATCGTTGTGTACTGTATAACAGAAATAACGGTCCACCCTCCCCAAAGAGAGGGCCTTGGGTTTGACAAGGATGAGAAGTAGAAACAAGAGTTGCAAAGGAAAGTTTCATTTTAAAAAATGGAGTAAATTGGGATGGGGCATGGCTCAAATGGTTGCGCTCCTGCCTAGCAGGTGTGTCGCCCTGAGTTCAAACAACAGCATAGCTACATATATATATATGCACCAATAGGATGTGTTGTACTGGTGATAAAAGCAGTTTTGCTTTTTCAAACTTAAAAAATATTGTCAAGCTTTTTTTCCTTAATATTATGTATTGAATAATTAGTCTTGGGAGATATGCATCATGATGTGTGTGTGAGAGAGTGAGAAAGAGAGAGAGAGAGAGGCAGGTGTGTGTGTATCTGGGAACTTAGGCCTCTCCAGTCTCAGCCCTCTGGGTGCTGAGATTTCACCCTGGGTTCCCAACGTGTGGTGATTCTTTTCAACTCTGGAAAAGCAGGTTAGGAAATTCTGGCTCTCCCACTGCCACCTAGTGGCAGTTTACCTAAAGTGCAGGGACCAAGCCAACTGACAACTGACAACTTCATTGTCAGTGGGGTTGCTGAGCATTAATGCTAAGGGCATCAGTCCTTTAAGGATGTGACTCTTTCCTGTTTTCCAGGTTCTTGAGTGTTACTTTGGTCTTCCCCTCTAAGAGCCCACGTTTCCTGCGGGTTGGCTTGGCTGTGCCCATCCTTGGCACAGTGGCCACCCTGAGGAAGATGGTGGCTGAGGAAGGAGGGATCTCTACAGATGAGGTATGATAATGGTGTGGGGGTGACTGGTTGGTTACTGGGTGGCAGAATGCTGACTGGACTGGCTGCTTAAGCTAGTGTGTGCTTCCCAGGTGATTCCAGCCTGATTCTCTGGCTTCTGTTTGATTAATAGTCCCTGGTGTCAGTGGTGACAAGGCCTGGAACTTCTCCCTGCATTACTCAGGGTCACCACAGGACACTTTACCTTCTAAGAAGGCTGTAATGATGATCAGAATAATTCCAACAGTAGCCTGCCTCTGTTGTGCTTCACTTGCATTTAGAGCTGATTTAATGACGAGGACTCTGGAATGTAGATGGTATAGCAGTTTTCATTTTGCTAGTGATAAGAAAAAAAGTCCTGAGGGAATTAAGTGATTTGCCCAGGTCACAGCTAGGAAGTGGTAGAGGCAGAGTTTGAATGCAGTGGTTTGATTTCAGAGCTGGGGGTACTGTTCTGTGTTTTTGCTCCTGAGATGATCCATCAGGGAACTTGAAGGAACAGTACAATCAAGTACATGACCAGTGCATGTTGTGGGACAGATGATCTGTGACATGAGGACATTTGACATTTAAGGCTGGGTCCTCCCTCTCCTCCCTCCCTCCCTCCCTCCCTCCCTCCCTCCCTCCCTCCCTCCCTCCCTTCCTTCCTTCCTTTCTTCCTTCCTTCCTGTGTCTCTCTTCTCTTCTCTTTTCTCTTCTCTTCTCTCTTCTCTTCTCTTCTCTTCTTTTCTCTTCTTGTGTATGTGTGCCAGTACTGGAGCTTGAATTCAGGCTCTTGTGTTTTTGCTTAGCTTTTTTGCTCAAGGCTGGCACTTTACCACTTGAACCACAGCTCCACTTTTTTCCTGGTTAATGAAAACTAAGAGTCTCACAGACTTTCCTGCCTGGACTGGCTTCATACTGTGATCCTCAGATCTTCTCCTTGAGTAGCTAGGATTACAGGCATGAGCCATGAGCATTCAGCTTTCTTATGGTTTTTTTTTTTTTTTTTTTTGGGGTCCAGTCATGGGGCCTGAACTCTGGGCCTGGGCACTGTCCCTCAGCTCTTCAGCTCAAGGCTAGCACTCTACCACTTGAGCCACAGTGCCACTTCCGGCTTTTTTCTTTTTGCTTATATGGTGCTAAGGAATCGAACCCAGGGCCTCATGCATGCAAGGCAAGTGCTCTACCACTGAGCCACCTTCCCAGCCCCTCTTATGGTTTTTTAAGGAGTCTTGGTGAAGTCCCTGTGGCTGAGGACATGGTGGGAAAGGTGATCATGTTGGTGACCAGTAGGATAGACAGGCTCTGAATGGAGTTCTAACTGTGACTTAGTTACTCTCTAGCTCTCTGACATGGGACCATGTGCTACTCTGACCATATGATGGGATCATTGCAAATAAAACATATTTTTAATGTGTTTGTAAAGGTATAATAGACATAAAACAAAGAAAACATGTCTTAAGACTATAGTTTGTTGAGGTTTATATATGTATACATTGGAACAACCATGGTTACCGGCCTTTTCCATCATGGCAGTGGTTTCCTTTCTACCACCATCCGAGTAACCCCTTGACCTCTCTCATGGTGTTTATGAGGATCTTAAATAGTGGAGGCTTGAACTTAGGGCCTTGTGATCTCACTTGGCTTCACTCCTTCCTCCCACAGCTGGCACTTTACCACTTGAGCAACATATCTAGTCCAGTTTCTTTGCTTTTGCTGGTTATTTTGGAAATGAACCCTGAGAACTTTTCTGACTGAGTCTTCAGACTCCTGAGTAGCTAGAACTATGGGGTGAGCACCAATGCTGATCTCCTATATGCCTTTTTGATTTCAATATTGTAGGTAGTAATTATTGTTGTTCTGTACTGTATATCCTCTCCTCCTACTTGTAGAAATGGTTATAGTATTTTAGTTTTATAGTTAGCGTATACTTATAGTTATCAATGTTTACCATTTCCTTTGATTCATTATTTCTTCTTACAACCTGAATTTTCTTTCTGATCCACTTATTTATGATTTAATTAATTTAATTTAATTTAGATAGGGTCTTGCTCTATATAGCCCAGGCTGATCTTGAATCCACAATCTTCTTGCCTGTCTCCTGAATAACATTATAGGCATATGCCATTATACTTGACTTCTTATTGTTATTTTTAGAAATCTTGAACTGTCTTTTATAAGAGAACCTACTAGTTTTTGTACCTTGAATAAGTTATATGAGTTATGTGTACTCAGATATTGAGTTGTGTCTGAGGCAGCCAAGATCTCCTTTTTCCTGTGCTATAAAAGTGTTTGTCTGTGGGCTGGGATGTAGCTCAGTGGCAAAGCGCTTGCCTAGCAAGTGCAACGTCCTGGGTTCGATCCCCTGTACCAAAAAAAGAAAAGACAAAAAAAGTACAGTTAAAAAAGTGTTTGTCTGTTTTCCTTTTTTCATCACCATGTTTTTTTTAAATGTATGACATAATATGAAAAAGGTTAGTAACACCATTTAGAGATAGTAACACAATTTTAGAAATTTTCTCAATGAAAAAACATGATAAATATTTTCTGCTTATTGGAGGAGGGCTTTTTCAAATTTCTTCCATGATAGTTTAGCTGGATATAAAGCTTTAGGATTCTCACTTTTTGTTGTTGTTATTGCAGTTGAGATGTCTGTGGACAATCTTATTGTTGCAGGTAGTATGTTTTTTTTTTTAATTTGGTGAACATTTTTATTTATTTATTTATTATTTTTTTATTGTTTGCAATATCTAGTATATGTCTGAGTCAAGCAGAAAAGGTCAGATAAGGTGATGTTAGGGAAATGAACCCTAAGATATGTATTCAAATGATTTTTTTTCTTTCATGCGATTGTTTCTAACGCATTTATAAGATAATTACTTTGTTGCTTTGTATGTCCCTCCCTCCCCCACAGTGTAACCTGTGCTTTCACTGTATTTGATGTCGGTAAAATTTGTGGAGGGGAAGGGGAAAAACAGGTAGTATGTTTTATTGCTTAAAATACGTAGCTACTTAGTCCTAAAGAAAGGAAAGGTAAAAAGGAATTTTAAGGCTCCCAGTCACTTTTTGATTTCTTATCTGTTAGGCTTTCTTAGAGAATTCAAGAGGGAAATGATCTTTCTTTCTTTCTTTTTTTTTTAAATGATCTTTCTTATTCTAGGTGATTTTGGTTGAACTGTATCCCAGTGGATTCCAGCGGTCTTTCTTTGATGAAGAGGACCTGAATAGCATTGCAGAGGGAGATAATGTGTATGCTTTCCAAGCACCTCCATCTCCTGGCCTTGGGACACTCTCAGGTACTATAGTGATGTGCATAATTCTACTTAGGTATTAGGAGATTTGGGATTGAGGAGGTTCTCTAGGTAAAAAGGTAGAAATCATTTAGTTTTTGTATTCAGAAAAATAAGGCTTCTTTTCCCTGACATTTGGTGTACAGGTAGGTAAGAATTATTCAAGAATCATTCTCAAAACCTTAGTGATTGCTAGAATTATCCAGAAGACTTGTTAAAGCAGATTTCCCAGCTCTGCCCCTAGATGTTCTGTTCAGTAAATAGATGGGGCCTGTGAATTTGTGTTGCCAACAGTTGGTCTAGAGAAACCATTTGAGAACTATCCGGTGAAGTTTTGGGGTAATCTTTTCTTCAGGAATTCTGTGGTTCACAATCTATGTTTGTTTGGGTACTGTCCTTTAGCTTTTTCACTCCAGACTAGTGCTGTACCACTTGAGCCATACCTCTACTTCTAGCTTTTTGTTGGTTAATTGGAGATAGGAGTCTCTCAAATTTGTCTGCCCAGCTGGCTTTGAACCTCAAACCTCAGATCTCAGCTTCCTGAGTAGCTAGGGTTACAGGTGTGAGCCACCAGGATCAACCTGACTAGCTAACGTGTTCCATTTGTTTTTGTTTTTTCTGGTGTCTTGTTGTGATAAAATTGATATGAACTATATAAACTTAAAGAATAAGGTATGTCTTAACATGTATAAACCTATGAAACCACAGTAGTCATGATACTGCATATATACATCACCTACAAAGTTACTGTTCCCCCTTTGTAATCTCTCTCTTCCTGGCCTTTTAGCTTTATGAGTTAACTGCCAGTTATTGCCTTTTACTTATCATGTGTTTTTGCCATAAACTTGTTTGCCTTTTGTAGATTTCATATAAATGGCATCAGATGATGTATATTTCTTTTTATATTCCTACTCACCCATTGCATCATTATTTGAAGATTCATCCATGTTGCTTTTGCATGTATGAAAATTGTATTCTTTTTTAAAAAAAATTATATGATGCATCATTTTCTTTTCTTTTTTTAAGTTTTTATTTTTATTTTTTGTGATCATTTTTTTGTATGTTGTAACTTACCATCATTTTCACCTGTTAATGGACCTCTGGGTCGATTCCAATGTCAGATTACAATAAATAAGGCCATAAGGAACAAATCTGTAAGAGTCTTTCTCTTTGGTGAATATTTTGAAATACAAGGTAGTCAAATGTTTATCACTCTGCAAGCTGACCAACTTCCCACTTCAGTTTCTAACTATCTTTCATTTCACACCATACATTTTGACTCCTGGGGCTTGAACTCAGAGCCTGGGCACTGTCTCTGAACTTGTTTTTGCTCAAGGCTAGCACTCTACCACTTGAGCCACAGTGCCACTTCTGGCTCTTTCTGTTTATGTGGTACTGAGGAATCAAACCCAGGGCTTCATGCATGCTAGGCAAGCACACTACCACTACGCCACCTTCCTAGCCCTTGGCTCCATTTCTTAAGCCAACCTAAGTGTCTGGCTGTGGCACTAGATTTTTGATGTTCCTGAGGCTACAGAGAGACTCTGGGTTGGAATCTGGAACAAATTTCCAGTTTGACTGCCTTCACTATATTACAAGCTAGTGAAATGAGTCCTTGTTTTAGACTGATCACCAAGTGACACACTTGAACTGAAGGGCAGAATTTCAGAGCTGATTGGAAATGGAAAGAAAAACTCTTCTTCTCTGTATTGTTTCTTGTGTTGGCTTTGTGAGACATTAGGTACTCAGAAGGCTCTTGAATCAAGTCATAAAAGCACCCACAATCATTTTGGTATCTTTTTCAGGTTGATTTGGAAACTGCTAATTCACGTCAGTTCCTTCTTTTAAAATGGCTGAAATAATAGCAGATTCAGTCCCAAGTATGTAATCATTGAGTGTCAGATGGCACAAGTGCCAGAAACCCTTATCATTTCCTAGGTGTCCTCTTCTCCTGGAGGTGAAAGATGCTCAGAGAGAAAGGGGGCAGGCACAGCCAAGGCTCTGACCCAGCACAGGAACTCCTTTAAGAATACAAATGTCATTCTCTCTCCTCCAGCTCATCCATCTGGTCTCTCAGTGTCCCCCCGCTTGGTGGCCCATGAGGGTCAGCGATTATCTCTGTCTCATCACAGTGAGAACAAAGTGCTCATCCTCTTCTGTAACCTGGTAGGGTCAGGGCAGCAGGCCAGCAGGTATGTTTACCTTCATCTTGTTTCCATGGGATGTCTGGGATGTGTAGAAATTGTACTTGATATTCTGACTAGAATAGTTCTAACGTGGTACATGTACATATCTATTCCCAAGGCTACTAAACTAGGAGAGGAGAGTAAAGGTACTTTTTGATCAAGAGGCTCAGAACTAATTGCCTTCAGCAGATGGCTCCCATCATCTTTAATTAAACATCAGAGCTTTCCCATTAATTGTAGGAACAATGATTATTGTCTTCACAATTATTATTTTATGTAATAAAGAAAGGCTAGCAGTGCAGTCAGCTCAGGGCAAAGAAAACTGGCTGTAGAAAGAAAGAGAAGCAGGGAACGGTGGCACATGCCTATAATTCAGGCTACTCAGGAAGCGGAGGCAGAAGGATCATGAAGGTAAGATCAGCCAGGGCTATAGAGTGATATTTGTTTAGGAGAAAAGGAAAGGAAAAAGAAGAGGAAGAGGGGGGAAAAAACAAATCCATTTAATTTTTTTTAGATGAAATAGATTATTTTAGATAAAACAGTTTTACTATTTGTAGTGCAACATTATGCCCCCAAAACTCTGATAAACTATGGGTTGGAGGCATGGGGTGATAGGTTACTTACAGCATGAAGCTGAACTCCAGTACCGACGACAAGCAAACCAACAAACAGACCCTATAATCTAGAAAATGATAAGCATTAATGAAAAGTGACAGTACAACTTTGCAAAAGACAGCTTTCTGGGGCTGGGAAGGTGGCTCAGTGGTAGATCGCTTGCCTTGCATGCCTGAGGTCCTGGGTTCGATTCCTTAACACCACATAAGCAAAAAAAGAAAAAAAGCCGGAAGTGGCGCTGTGGCTCAGGTGGTAGAGCGCTAGCCTTGAGTTGAAGAGCTGAGGGACAGCGCCCAGGCCCAGAGTTCAGGCCCCATGACCGGACCCAAAAAAAAAAAAAAGACAGCTTTCTTATATAGTCCAGTTTTTACTGGCAAAATCTCTTCCCCACCCCCAGTCGCAAGGCAGGCCCTTGAATTTGAAAGACAAGCTTGAGTAAGGTGTTTACCAAGAAATGATAAAAGTGTTGGAAGTGATAGATAGATACGCTAATTAACCTGATTTGATAATTCCACAATATATTAAACCATTACATCTCACAAGTAACATATAATTATTATTAGTCAGCTGAAAATAACATAACACTTAAGAATGAAGTATTAAAAAGATAGAATTCTGCCAGGTGCTGATGACTCATGCCTATAATCCTAGTTACTCAGGAGACTGACATCTGAGGAGTGTAGTTTGTCAGCCCAGGCAGACAAATGGGAGAGACGGTTATTTCTAATTAACTAGCAACAAGCTAGAAGTGGAAGCATGGCTCAGAGTGCCAGACATGAGCAAAAACAGAAACAAAAACTAAATGAGAGCTTGAGGCCCCGAACACTCCTTCTGACCTCCACACACACAGACACACAAAGAAGGATAGAATTCTGGGCTGGAGGTATAGCCTGCTGGTTCAGTGTATGCTCAGCAAATGCAAGGGCCTAGGGTCCATCCCTAGCACCATCAAGATGCAGAATTCAATAAAGTGAGCTTAGATTGATAAGGAATTTCTAAAATAAAATCTGGAATAATAAACTGCAAAGAACAGCCAGTAACTTCTGGGGTGAGGGAAAAGGAGAAAGAGGGATTATTCTAGTAAAACAGAATGAAGTTTTATTTGTGAAATACTGTGGGTTTTTACATTTCTTTTTAATCTTTAGGTTTGGCCCACCATTCTTGATAAGGGAGGACAGAACTATTTCCTGGGCTCAGCTCCAACAGTGTATCCTCAGTAAAGTCTGCTGTCTCATGAGGACTGAGGGTTCTGCACAGGTATGCGTGTGTGTGCGTGTGTGTGCGTATGACTGAGTGCCTGCGGGTGTTGGGAAGGTGATCTAGGGAGAGAGAACAATTTGCCCTTCATGAGGGCAATGGTCATGTTATTTTACCATGTTGATATATGTGTACAGAGGTAACTATTTTGTGGCCAGTGACCTTTTAATCTTTTTTTGTTGTTGTTGTTTTGGTCCATTTTGGGGCTTGAACTCAGGGCATGGGCGGTCCCTGAGCTTCTCTGTGCTCAAGGCTAGTGTTGTACCACTTGAGCCACATGCCACTTCCGGTTTTTGAGTGGTTAGCTGAAGTTAACAGTCTCATAGGGCTTTTCTGCCTGGGTTGGCTTTGAACCACAATCCTCAGCTCTCAACCTCCAGAGTAGCTAGGATTACAGATGTGACTTACTGGTTGGTGCCTGGCTCCTTTTTAATCTTTATGGTTTTACCAAATACCTAGAAGGATGAAGCCTTTATTTTTTGTTGAATCGTTACAAATACCGTTGGAATAGCAGTGTGTATAGTATTCTCAACTCTTTCCTCTGTGTGTGTGTGTGTGTGTGTATGTGTGTGTGTGTGTGTGTGTATGTGTGTTTGTGTGTGTGTGTGTGTATGTGTGTTTGTGTGTGTGTATGCATGCCAGTCTTAGGGCTTGAACTCAGGGTCTGGGCACCACCCCTGAGCTTTTGGGTTCAAGGCTAATGCTTTACCACTTGAGCCACAGCTCTACTTCCAGTTTTTTGATGGTTAATTGAAGATAAGAGTCTCAAGGACTTTCCTGCCCAGGCTGGTTTTGAAGGGGATCCTCAGATCTCAGCCTCCTGAGTAGCTAAGATTACAGGTATGAGCGACTGGTGCCCGGCTCCTGTTATTTTAATGGCTTTCCATGGTTCCCCCAGAGTAGCCTATTGTAATTAATTGTAACTTACACATTTGGGCAGAAAATTTCAAAGGACTTGACTTACAATTTGTGTAGAAAATTTAGGTGGATGTTTGTGTCTGTATGTAAAAATCTAAAATTAAAAAAACTATTTTTTTTAGAACTTGAGATTAAAAGTTCAAGGAAAACATTTTTTGTCTTGTTTATTTACTTATTCTCTTATGAAATTAATATATATGTGTATATATATGTATATATATGTATATATACGTATATATATACATATATATACACACACATATATATTTAGCAGAGCACTTGTGGATCAGACCTGTCATACTTGTTCAAGAAGCTGAGATTTGAGGATTTCAGTTAAAAGTCAGCTTGGATGGGAAAATCCATGAGACTCATCTCCAATTAATCACCAAAAAACTGCAGTTCAAGTGGTTGAGTTCCAGCTTTGAGTGAAAAAGCTAAGGGACAGCACCCAGGTCCTGAGTTCAAGCCCTAATACCAACACACACACACACACACACACACACACACACACACACACACACACACACACACACACACACACACACACACACACACACACACACACACACACACACACACACCCCTCACCCAGGTCCTGAGTTCAAGCCCTAATACCAACACACACACACACACACACACACACACACACACACACACACACACACACACACACACACACACCCCTCTTATAACACCTTTCAAGTCATTGTTTTTGAGCTTCTACAGTATCAGAAACTCTTCTTTTGGCTGCCTGGCAAAGAATGTGTTGAATTTTTTAGGGATAGGTTAGTAGTACCAGAATCTTTTTTCTCTCTCACTATCCTCTTAATGAGAACCTTTTCTTTGGGAGATTCGCCAGGGTTTTTCCAGTGCTACTTCCTCATAACTGACATTTCTTTCCTGCTCAGAAAAATCCATATTGATTTAAGATTGACACCAAATACCACTCTGCTAAAGATCTTTGCTTGCATTTGTACCAACTTTATCTCTAAAGGATTTTGTTCATTGGAATATAGAACAGATCTGACCCAGGCCCCAAATTAGAAACCACTTGTCTACAAGTAGGTCAGGATCTGTGGGCTACTGATGGTTGAAAGAGGATGAAGTGACTTTTGTGTGAGCATTCATCTGGACTATCCTTGTCCTTTGCCTGTCACATACATGCACTTTTGCTTCTATAGAGTTTCTCATTTCAGTTTTAGAAACTAGTCAAGCATTTGGTAGGGCCAGCAGAATTCAACTACAGAAAATCTTGAGCTTGGTCGTGATGCTTTTTGTTTTCTTTTCTTTTTTTTTTTTGGGTCCAGTCATGGGGCCTGAACTCTGGGCCTGGGTGCTGTCCCTCAGCTCTTCAGCTGAAGGCTAGCGCTCTACCACTTGAGCCACAGCGCCACTTACGGCTTTTTTCTTTTTGCTTATGTGGTGTTGGGGAATCGAACCCAGGGCCTCATGCATGCAAGGCAAGCGCTCTACTACTGAGCCACCTTCCCAGCCCCTTGTGATGCTTTTTCAATAGCTCTGTTGGTCAACCCTGTGTTCTGTGTGGTTAGGAGGCTCTCTGGCTAGCTCACCTAGTTAACACAGGGTTCTTTTTAATACTGTATTAAATATTGGCTCAACCTGCTAATCATTTAGAAAGAATATATTCAAATTTTTCAACATGGAGCCAAAGAAATTACGAATCATGAGTGTATATTGAAAGTACTTAAAATGAATTTGCTTAGCCAAGAATAAAGGAGAGAAAAATGTTTCTTAACAAAAAACTTGATTAGCTAGAGGGGATTAATTTGCATGAACAATGAAGAAATATCATTTCAGAGATTTTTTTGTGGTCTCAGGGTAAATGTGTTTGTGTGTATGTGTATGCGTGTGTGCAAGTGCATGCACTACTCATGTATGTGTGTGTGTGTGTGTGTGTGTGTGTGTGTATGTATGTGTGTGTGTGTGGCCAATGCTGGCAGGATCAGCTGCCTTCATGAAGATGTTAACTTTGTTGATAGATGGTCGTGCAATGTAAACAGCATGGGTCAAATAGAGGGGACAGGAGAAAGTGTTCTCTGAGGGTGTTCTTAAGAAGTACATGCTCCTGTGGTCAGCCTTGAGTCAAAGCCATTAATTTGTTCTTTGTTGAAAACATAGGTCACTGTGTGATTATGGTCCTGGTAGATGCACCAGCTCCTTTTACTTCACATTACTACAGGAAAGTCCTAAGGAACCTGACTGGTGAATCCGCTTATTCTGCCCAAAGAATTTGGCAGGATTTCTTTTTTTGTGGTGTTGGGGATCAAATCGAGACCTTTCATTAGACAAGTACTCTACCCCTGAGCTATATCCTCAGCCCTAAAAGTTCAGGCTGAAGATACTAATTAATTAGTGAATTACTAACACATAAGTAGTCGTTGTTTATTAGTTGTTTATCTATTATTATTATTATTATTTCATGGTACTATGGAAATCCAGGGCTAGGTTGTTTTATTTTTATTTTTGTTTTTATTTTCCTTATGGTTGGTGCTCTACAACTTAAGTCACACCTCCAGTTCTAGATTGTTTTTTGGTAGTTAATTGAAGATAAGGGTCTCACAGACTTTTCTGTCTAGTCTGGCTTTGAACCTCGAATCTCAGATCTCAGCTTCCTGAGTAGTTAGACACATATGTGCACATATGTACGTGCACGCATGCGCGCACACACACACACACACACACACACACACACACACACACACACACAATAGTATAAATCTCAAAAAAAGAAGTGAAGACTATAAGATATGATTTAAAAAAAACAATTGTTCAGAGAATATTCAAAATCCAGTTATGGAAAAAGTGATTGTACTTTTTGATAAATTCAAAAGAGTTTAATTGAAGAGTTTAATTTAGATCACACAATGACCACATGATGGCTGCTTTGCCTTGGCAGAACCTGGGATCTCTGTTCTCCATCCGTGTTGTCGGTCTTTCCCTGGCCTGCAGCTACTTATCCCCACAGGACAGCTGTCCCCTCTGCCACTGGGCAGTTGACAGGTAAGGAAGAGAAGGCATGTACGTTCATTGTCCTAGACTCCCCAGATTTAAATCGCCACGCTTCCCCTATCCAAGCGGAACTCCTACAGCTCCCACCTTGCAGGCCTCCTTTACAGTAGAAATGGGGAATTTGAGAGTCCTGAAGAAAGAGGCTTAGATACAGGTCCCCTTGTGTGTCTCTTGAGAATCGACCTTTCCAGTATTTTCAGGGCTGAGCTGCTTTGAAGGATGGCCTAGAGCGAGGACGGGATGGGCCAAGGATGGGGGGGGTCTGGGGGGGGGCGGTATCTCCCATTCCCACCACACAACAAATGTACTTCTCCTCTTTGGGAGGGAATGAGAAGGAAAGAGGGAATGGCAGTCTGCTCAAGGCTTAGCTCTCTCTGATCTACAGAGAGATGAGGCAGTGTTTGCCTGTAACCAGCAGGGACCCCAGCCACACCTGGCTTCCCCTGGCACGTTCCCCCCCCCCCCCCCCCCCCCCGCCTCTCCCCAGCTTCCCTCCCCCTTTCTCCCTCTCTCATACAAGTCTCACGGACTTTTCTGCCCTGGCTGGTTTTGAACTGTGATATTCACATGTCAGCCTCCTGAGCAGCCAGGATTTGAGGCTATAAATTCTGACCAGTTCTAGGTGTGGACTTGGTCACTATTTCTATCTGCCCTATTGATTCAGCGTGAAATATCCAGCCCTCCCTTTCCTCCCTGCCCCACCCCTTCTGTTTAAGGCTGGCCAATCTCTCCTGAAAGGTGCTGAGCCCCAGCAGTTGAGAAGAATCATAGGTTGGCTCACATGGAGATGTCTATATATTGGAGGGTGGGGAAGGAGGTGGTATTTTAGGCGGTGAGGTGGCTTGTGGGTGCTCCTGCACTGTAGTGGTAGTGGGGAAGTTAGTGGCTCTCCTTGGGCTTTATCAGAACTGGATGTTGGTGTGACACCCACATATTCCTGCAGAATGATGCTAGAGACACTGAGAAGGTAGTTGGACTATATTGGGACAGTTCATCTGTGTTCTTGAAGTCACCAAAAAGCCTTAGAGCTGCCACCTCTTACTGAGGAAGAGAAGAGAAAACATGGATAGGTTTGGTGGTGCTAAGCCTTAACTTTCTGCTTAGGTTGGGGCATTTCACTTTGGAACCTCAATCACAGGTAGGAAGCCGACTGCTGAGCCCCACTAAGCTGTGGAAAGGAGGCTCGGTGTTTTCTGATGGGCTCCCCTATTTTTCTCCTCAGGGCTTTGCACATCAGGAAGCCAGGTGGCCCCCCCCACATCAAGCTGGCTGTGGAGTGGGATAGTTCTATCAAGGAGAGGTGAGTTCATGGAATCTGCCTTCTGGTGACCTCCCTGGGCCTATAAACCTTCCCTGGACTCAGTTTCTCTGGAATGACTGGAAGGCAGTGTGTGAGCAAATACTTGACCCATCCCCCCTGCAGACCTTAATGAGTACCATCTGATGGAGAAAGCCAGGATGCTCCTGGTAATTGTGATGATGGGGCGGGGGGGCTGGGCATCCATTGCTTACATAGCCCTCCCCCTGGGATGCTCATGCTCTGGGCACTTTATTTGCCCTTTACCATTCATTATAGCCTATGGGTGGGTACCATAAGGTAGATACTATTTGCTCCATACTTCTCTGCAGTGGAGACTGAGGTACACAGGAGGGTAAGCAGTTGCTTAAGTCACACAGCTCGTATATGCAGAGCTGGGATTTGAACCCAGGACATCTGGCTTGAGTCCAGCTCTTTATCATGCTCCTTTTTTTTGGGGGGGGGTCCGGTTGTGGGGCCTGAACTCTGGGCCTGGGCGCTGTCCCTCAGGTCTTCAGCTCAAGGCTAGTGCTCTACCACTTGTGCCACAGCACCACTTCCGACTTTTGTTTTTTTGCTTATGTGGTGCTGAGGAATCGAACCCAGGACCTCATGCATGCGAGGCAAGCGCTCTACCATTGAGCCACCTTCCCAGCCTTTTATCATGCTTCTTGACTCCCTTTATATCACTGGCCATATCCAGCTTTATTTGTCAACAGACATTTCGGTCCAATAGCGATTTATTAGTCTCTCATCAGTATGCAGGCCTTATACTGGGCAGTGAAAAGCATGGATAAGCCCCAACACCTAGTCCTTCCAGACTTGCTAGAGGGAGACAGGTGATTCCCATAACAGAAAGTGAGCAGAGCTGGTGCTCAAGGCTCAAGCCTGCACCGATCTGAGGATGGTGGTTTGAAGCCATTCTGGGCAGGAAAGTCCATGAGACTCTTATTTCCAAATAACTAGTAAAGCTAAGAGTGCAGCTGTGGTTCAGATAGTAGAGTGCCAGTCTTGAGCACAAAAACTCGAGTTCAAGTCCCATTACTGGTTTAGAAAGAGAAGTTAGGAAGGGAGGGAGGAAGAAAGTAAGAAAAAGAGAAACAGAAGAGAGAAAAAGAGAAAGAAAAAGAGCGTATAGGAGAGTTCCAGGAACCACATTGGTTCCTATAGGGAAGGTGCAGCTTTGCACTGCTTAATGCCCTCCACCAGGTTTGCTGTGAGGAGAAGACAGAGGAGACCCCTCTTGGAGGGGGAACCCCTGAATGCCACGGTGTCCTGTCTCTGTTCAGGCTATTCGGAAGCCTCCAGGAGGAGCGGGTCCAGGATGCGGACAGTGTGTGGCGGCAGCAGGCGGCGCACCAGCAGCCCAGCTGTACCCTGGACGAATGTTTTCAGTCCTACACCAAGGAGGAGCAGGTCCTGTCCTGGGGTCCTCTCCCTGGTGGGTGGTGGTGGTAGCGGTAGTAGTGGAGGCTGGCTGCCTCATTAGTAAGTTGACTGAAGGCTGTGAGGGAGGCCTCGTGCCTCATGATCCTGGGGCTTCTTTTACAGCTGGCCCAGGATGACGCTTGGAAATGTCCACACTGCAAGGTCCTCCAGCAAGGCATGGTGAAGCTGAGCTTGTGGACCCTGCCTGACATCCTCATCATCCACCTGAAAAGGTTCTGTCAGGTGGGGGAGAAAAGGAACAAGCTCTCCACACTGGTGAAGTTTCCACTGTCTGGCCTGGACATGGCCCCGCATGTGGCACAGAAGAGCGCTAGCTCCAAGCCGGTGCCTGGCCCCTGGCCCTCCTGGCAGCAGCCGACCCACCTCCCTACTGCCTATCCGCTGGACTTCTTGTACGACCTGTATGCCGTCTGCAACCACCACGGCAGTCTGCAAGGTGGGCATTACACAGGTGAGCCTTGCCTTGCCTCTCTGCATGGGGTCGCCATGGCCACATGGCTCTGCTGTGGCCTGAGCCTCTGCTGCCCCCTCACCCCCCTGTCCCCACCCCGCACCCCCCCATCCTCAGAATGCTGAGCCCTGTTGGCTCTCTGCTGGCTGACTGCTCCCTAGAGAGTGTGCACAAGGACATCGACTTCACCCCTGGCTCCAGCTGAAGAGCTGATGTCCTGCTTAGGCAAGTTAGAGGTTAGAATATAAAGTCAAATACTGCCCAAATTTTTCAGACGTATCAGATGTCGGAGGGCAATTATTAGAACCAACAGAGTAATATTTATCCTAGTCTGTGATTCAATACCTGGAATCTCACTTATCAGATTTGGTATCTGTTTTTTTCCCTGTGGGGTGCTTTTTTCTGTTTTGATTTTTCTTTTCCTTCCTTCCTTCCTTCCTTCCTTCCTTCCTTCCTTCCTTCCTTCCTTCCTTCCTTCCTTCCTTCCTTCCTTCCTTCCTCCCTCCCTTCCTCCCTTCCTCCCTTCCTCCCTTCTTCCCTTCTCTCCCTCCCTTCCTCTCTCCCTCCTTCCCTCCCTTTCTTCCTTTTTTTTTAATGCTTGTACTGGTACTTGAACTGGGGACCATGGAATGTGTTTAGCCTGGGAAACTGGAAAAGCAGAGAAGACAGACACTCTGAGAACAGCCCAGTGGCATCTCTTTATCTTAAGGTCAGAATGCAGCCTTGATCACATCTTGATTTTATACCAGTGAGGCCCTGCTTGGATTTGTTTTTCTGTTTTACTTCCTGGCTTCTACAAGAATACCTTTGTGTTGTTCTAAGTAGCAGCAGCACTAGGAAACTTCCTGATAGTCTCTCATTTTCATCACCTTTCCCATCTTTGCATTGCCTTTCTTTTCTCTAGGAGATAGGCTCAATTTCATCTTGTCACTGTGTCACTGCAGGGTCTCACTGTGGCTGGGAAGCACTCCTTCCTTCTCTTAGGTCTTTGTCAGAGCACTCTGGTTTGGTTCTTGACTCACCTGGCCCGGCCTTTTGTGGTACCTGACTGATTCAGTTCTGAGCCTCTTGGGGGTACATCCTGGTGAATGGCTCCCTTCCATACCTATCCTCCTCCACCTCCTCCAAGTTGACACTTGGACTTGAACTCCATCACCTTGGCTCCTGGAGTACCACTCCTGCCTCTGCTTGCTAGGCTCTCCAAATCTGAGCAGCTGCTTTCTCTCTCATTGTCATTTTGACGCTTTCTTTCTTTCTACATACTGGAAGCCTGGTCGTTACAGTTCAGAAATGTCTGTTTTTAGAAATCTCAAATGCCTTCTGTTTCATCTTAAATATGTTGAATATGTGCTGAATCCCTCATTTCAGAACTCACACAGCCTAAAAAAAGATAAATTGTGAAAAGTTTATCCCATGTATGTACCTTACTTATCCTTCCTATGTTCAAGGGTGACCCCCAAGACTCCCCCTCCCCCCACCACAAAGGTGACCATACCCTGGCCTCCATTCATGAATAACTCTCACCTGTATCCCATACTCAAAGGTGATCCCACCTGCCACCACCCCCAGCATTCAACCACTTGTAATTACCTCTCCTCTGTTCCATTCTTTCTGTAAATACCAAGCAATTAGGAGTTATTTTCCTATCCATTCTATTACTTATTTCATGTATTTCCAATAAAGGTATTGCCTTTTTTAGATACATTTGGCATTTTTCTCTTTTTCCCCCCTAAAATCTATCTTGGAAGCCTTTACAGATATATAAAAAGCTTCTCCATCTTCATCTATAAATGCACTGGACAGCTATATCAATTTATTAAGTCAGTGCCCTGCAGGTGGACATTCGGCTGGTTCATTCTTTTGCTGTTACAGATATTACTCTCAACCCATTACATGTGTCATTACCTACGTGTCCACGTTGATAGGTAGGGTGAAATCTCAGAATTGGGATAGCTTTGTGTGTGTGTGTGTGTGTGTGTGTGTGTGTGTGTGCAATACAGGGGATCAAACTCAGGGCTGTTTGCATGTGAGGCCAGTGTTCTACCTCTCATAGGGTTCTGGTCATTTTCCCCTAGAAGATACCTCTTTGTCCCAACCACCACTCACTAAGTTCACTTAGTTCCTTCCTTAAGATGATATCTGCCATACTGAATATCTATGTTTGTGTTGGGTCCATTTGTGGACTTTGGCTTTTTTGTATTATTTATTTTTTGTCCCATTGACTGAAAGTTCAAGCCTATGAGTTCTACCTTGGTCTTTCTGGTCATTGGCCTCTAGCCTTAAGCTTATGCAGGGACTGTCAGACATTATTCAACTCATTAGCATAGAGAAAGAAATCCTTGCTTTGTTGATTCCGAGGTTAGGAAGCATTTCACAGCATTACAGAAGCCATTTGAAGATTTTTAAGTAGAGGAGTAAAAGCATAATTTTAATATGCTGATTGAAATGTTCAGTCTGGGGGAGGATGACCCCTCTAGCAGGAGGGGTCAAGAATGGGAGCTGGCCTTCCAGCTTGGGAGATGTTTCTGGGCTGCAAGTGAGACCTGGTATTAGCAAAGTATTCATGCTTTGGAAGGAGAATCAGTTAAGAATCGCCTTTGGATGCGGTATGGTAGGAAGGGAGAAGAAGAGCAAAGATGGACTCATGGTGCCTGGCTCAGATTTGTGCAAGGGTCAGCACACTGTGGCCCAGTCTAGGGCCTGTGTATCACTGACGGTTAAAATAGTTCTCTAAAGGTGATAAGGAAAAAAAACAAAAGGAGCATGAAGGACATGTGACAGAGTGTGTGTGGCCCAGTGTAATCTGTAAAGCCTGAAGTATTTGCTTATCTGGCTTATTATAAGAATAGTTTACTAACTTCCAAATCAGTGGGTTTTGGTAGTGCTCCCAAAGCTGGGGGGCAAGGAAAAGTACTTTGTCGTTGTTTGACTCTCCCAAGTCATGTTCATTATCTTTCCTTCAATGTTTGAGTATAGTTCTTAGGATGAAAAGAGGGATTCCCAAAATCCTAGTTTCTCTTCTTGTGTGTGTGTGTATATGTATGTGTGTGTGTGTGTTGTGTGTGTTGTGTGTGTGTTTGCACATGCGCGCGTGTGTGTGCCAGATTGGGGCTTGAATCAGGGCTTTTTTTTTTTTTTTTAACTCAAGGCTGGTGCTCTAACATTTGGGCCACAACTCCATGTCTGGGCTTTTGGTGATTAATTGGAGGTAAGAGTTTCCTGCCGGTACTGACTTCAAACAGTGATCCTCAGATCTTGGCCTTTTAAGTAGGAATACAGGTGTAAGCCTCTGGTGGTCAGCCTAGTTAATATTTTATTATATACCTGGGCAGAGATATTTTAAATCTAGAAAGCAATGGGTTGAAAGTTGACATTGTCTGGATGTATAATGTGTGGCTCACTTTTATGGGAGATTTTGCTGAATAAAGGCTACAGTATGAAGATTCATCTTAAACCAACCTACTGTAGCAGTAAGAATTGTGAGTATAACTTATGAATCATTGCAGAGTCTACAAATTCATTTTTGGCCCCAGATGGACTTCTTTTTTTTCCCTTATTCTACTTGAAGCATGCCCAATTTTCAGTCAGCTCTGCCTTGGGAGCTAGAATCACTGAGACTTGGGGTTTGGCCCTTTGCAGCCTATTGCCGGAACTCTCTGGATGGCCAGTGGTACAGCTACGATGACAGCACAGTGGAACCACTTGGAGAAGATGAGGTCAACACCAGAGGGGCATACATCCTGTTTTATCAGAAGCGGAACAGCATCCCACCCTGGTCAGCCAGCAGCTCCATGAGAGGTGGGCACCCCTGCTTTTTGGGGATGGGTGGGGAAGAGAAGGATGCTTAATTGAACATCCAGGACCAGGAAGGTTGGCAGGGATGGAAAAGAAGAAGTCCTGGATGCTGCTATAAAGAAACCCTAGACCCCTTAGACTAGAAGCCCATCCATCAGGCTGTGGGATGGATAATATTGTAAACCAAGAAAGGGGAGAAGAATCATTTTTGGGTATCTTTGGCAGATGATGTTTGGGAGTGTGGGGTTCCCTTTTCCCAGTCTCATATGGTGCTAGATTTGATTAATGTGTGCCACATATACCCAAGTGATTGCTGTTTGAAAGGGAAGGGCTGTTATAAAAGCTACAAGACCTTTCTAGAAAATGTTACTTAAAAGCATGCCAGTCATTTCTTTATTAGCCTCAAACTTGCTTGGAAATCTAGATGATTAAAACAATGCCATAGCTAACCCTTTTATGTGACCCGCAAACCAGCCATTTTAGTCTTTGGGATGAAAGAGTATTAAAAAAAAAAAATCAGCTGTGTACTGATGGCTTATACCTGTAATCCTAGCTACTCAAGAGCTATGGATCATGGTTTGAAACCAGCCCAGGCAGAAAAGCCAGTGAGATTCTTATCTCCAGTTAACCACCCAAAAGCCCAGAGTGGAGCTATGGCTCAAGTGGTAGAGAGCTAGCCTTGAGCAGATAAAGCTAAAGGACAGTCAGTGCCCAGGCCTTGAGTTCATACCCTAGTACTGGTGAAACAAAACACAACAAAAACAGATTTTCTCCTAGTTATTTCTGGGGGGGAAAATGGCCAGATGAAACCAAGATTTCTCAGCATGTCTAAATCAAACCTAATTCAAGTCTGCCTTCTATTTTTAAAATGTAGATATTGAAAGAGCAATAAGATCCTTAGTATGTGACAGAAAGGCTGGTTTTCTTATTGTCCAGCCCAATAAAGACCTGTTCCTCCAGATAAGAGTAGGTGTGCTATGCTGAAGCACTGATCTCTGGGTATGCCCCTCTAAGTCTACCTAGCTCATTTGTATGTTGATATATGGGAACTGAAGACCCAATGCTGTTAATCTGATTCTGTGGTAAACGATAAAGTCCTTTGACTGTGCAAAAACAAATAGGAAAAACTAGTTAGGAAGCCAGAGTTGGTGTCAAGCCATTTCGTAGAAGGCATTTTTGTACTCATTAGTGAGTGTGAAAAATTTGGTGCCCCAATGTCTCTCTGAATTTGCATGCTGATCACCTGGGTGGCCATTCTTCATGGTTCCTTCAGTGCTAGAGTCCTGGACCGAAGGTGGGCTTGAGGGTCTGGTTGTAAGATGCTCCCCCTAGAGCCTTGCGGGGATGGTTTGGGTCTAGCCTCTCCCTCTCTGTGCTTCCTGTGCAGGCTCCACCAGCTCCTCCTTGTCTGACCACTGGCTCATGAGGCTCAGCAGCAACAATGGGAATAGCACGGCGGGCAGCCTGCTCTCCTGGAGCTCTGCCCCCTGCCCTTCCCTGGCCCGGGTGCCTGACTCTCCTGTCTTCACAAACAGTCTTGGCAACCAGGACAAGGGTATGTTGGTTCAGTTTCCTGATTTTCATTTCATCATCTGTCTATAACAATCATTATTGCTCTGCTTTCTGAAAATTTGGTACTTCATAGGCTTGAGTCTAGCTAGAGTCAATCATTTTGAGAGGGTTTTGCTATGAGCTGCCCTTACCTGTCTCCCTTCTCTTGTCTTGTTTTCCCATCCATAGCCTGGGGTTGTTCATTGGTAAAGTCAACCAGCTACAGATTAAATATCTGGGGGGAAAAATTGTACCAGTGCTGAACACATAGACTTTTTTGTTATCATTATTTCCAATTCAATTTGGTATAACAACTGTTTACATCACATTTCCACTGTATTAGGTAGTATGGCAATCTAGAGCTGATTTCAAGTATGTGGGAGGATGTATGATGACAACAGAACGCCAAAACACAGTGAAAAACAGAGCTGGAATCATGACTTTTAGCAATAAAGCATCTGTTCAGAAGTTTTAGGCCCTGAGTTCAAAACGTAGTATTTCCCTCCACTACAAAAAATATTCCCCATTGTAAAAAAAAAGGGGGGTCATTTTATGTATTTATCCAGTTGTAATAAGATTTGGAGCTATTGCCAGAGCATCTTGAATCTGGAAATCAAAAATCCAAAAACCTCAAAAATCTGAAATATATCTGGAAATCCAAAATCCAAAAACCTCCAAAATCTGAAATATATCACCATGGTACCACATGTGGAAAATATCCTCACCATGAAACTTTGTCTTAGGCACAAAATTTATTTTTTTTTAAAGAAGTAAAATTATCTTCAGGCTATGTGCATAAGGTATATATGAAACAGAATACTTTTATATTTAAACCTGGATCCCATCCTTAAGATATCTCATTATGAATATGCAAATATTCCAAAATCTGAAACACATACAAAACCCTGCACACTTCTGGTCCCAAGTATTTTGTATAAGGGATATACAGCCTGTACTGCTATAATATTTTTGTTCCTATCTTTTGGTGTACATATGTCTGCACTTCTGTTGGGGATACTTAGCATGGAATTGCTGGATTACAGAATATGATTCATCAGTTACTTGTTAACTTAAACTTACGTCACCATTGTCTCTAAGTACCCAGCATGTGTCTTGGCAAGTACCATGGGACACTATAGCAAGGAAATGAATGAATTTGGGTTTCAAGGGGATTGTACCTTACAGAATTGGGCAGATATAAGAACACCTTACTTTTGCAGTTATTAGGGAAACAACCATCTTAAAAAAATTGTTAGGGATCTCTCTCCTAGGACCATGTCCTGGGACAAGGGCATCTCCAGCCTGACAGGACAGGTACTCTGTTGACAGATTTCCTCTGTGGTTCTAATGCTCAGCAGATATTTTGTTTTTCTCTTTTTCAACTCTCACCATTTCTTGTTTTGATCTACCTGGAATCTACAAGTTTCAAGTAGTAAGGTTATTTGGCTACTTTTTTTGTTCTTTCCCCCTCCCCTACCTAATTTGATTGAGCATAACTCTAAGCTATTCCATTTTGTGATCAAGTCCATCATTATTATTTTATAAATGATCTAGTGACATAAAAATAATGTGTTATCTATTTGAAGGATATGTTTTATATCATAAGTACTAAAGAAAGTGAGTCTTTGAATTTGTGTGTGTGTGTGTGTGTGTGTGTGTGTGTGTGTGTGTGTCTGGGTTTGAACTCAAGGGATAGGGATTCTTAATAGGCTGGCGTTCAACTACATGAGCCATGCCTTCAGCCCCACTTTTTAACATTTAACTTTATTGTCAAGGTGATGTACAGAGGGGTTAGAGTTACATATATAAGGTAGTAAATACATTTCTTGTTGAACTTGTTACCCCCTTCCCTCATTTTTCTCCTATTTATCTCCCCCCCCCCCCCCCCCCCCGGGAATCTCATGGACTTTTTATTTCCTGGGCTGGCTTTGAACCTCAGGCTTCCAGATCTCAGCCTTCTGAGTAGGTAGGATTATAGGTGTGAGCCACTGGCACCTGGCTAGACCAGTGTTTTTAAGCAAGCATTCCTTTATTCTTTGAGTTTTAATAGTTTATGTCATATATTGTTAACTGTTTTGCTGATACATGCTTTGATCTTATATATGGTGTTTTAATCATTATAATATTGCTTTTTATCTTGCTTTCTGTTTTTAAACTTTATTTTAATTTTGTTTTGTCAGTTGTAGAGCTTGAACTCAGGGCCTGGGTACTGATCCTGAGCTTTTTTGCTCAGGCTAGTGCTCTACCACTTGAGCCACAGTGCCACTTCTCATTTTTCTCTGAGTAGTTTATTGGAGAGAAGAGTCCCATAGCCTTTCCTGCCCCATGCTGGCTTCAAACCATGATCCTCAGATCTCAGCCTCCTGAGTAGCTAGGATTACAGGCTTGAGCCATCATTGCCTGGCTGTTTTTAACATTAAATTCTACTTTGTTCCAGCATAAGAATTTGACCCTCCCTTCTTTCTGTTTTTACTTGCCTCTTTTGCTTTGTGAATCTTTCCTTTCTCAGCATTTATCATCTACCACATTTCCTGCTAGTACATTGCTGAAAGAAGCTAATGCCCTGGGAGGCGTTCTACTTTTTTTTTTTTAATTTTTATTTTAAGTAGTTATACAAAGGGGTTTCAGTTGGGTATTCTATTTTAACATTGCCTTCTCTTCTTTCCCCCAACTAAGTGAGAAATACACCTTTTCCCTATCCTTTCCCCAAAGGAGCACTTCAAAATATTTTGCATTTTAGGATTTTGCCTGATTTTCTTCAACTCAGATTTTGCTGAGCCAGTCTAGAAGTCTCTGATGCAAACTGCTGTTGGAATTCCTGCCTGCACACTCCAATTTGACTTGAGGTGACCTTGAACTGGATGGACAGCTCCCAGATGGTGGAGCCCATGGTCTACCCTGGCTTTCTGCTCTTCATCCCCCCTGCCTCCTCTTCTCCCACTGCCTTCATTAAATCTCTGCAGAGTTACCTGGGCATGGAGTGGTCAGCAGCCTGGCTGGCCGCACAATCCTTGAGTCACAGTCCTTGGCTTTGAAGTGTTTGTAGCTGTTTCCCCATGGTCTCCCAGGCCCGGGGTGGCAGGTGAGAAGCCTAGGCTGAACTTTTTCACATGAGTGTTGCTTGTTCTTTCTGGCTGGAAGCATTTGAGATTCTCTCTTCTGACCTTGGAGTCTAGAAATTCTACCAGCTCTGCCTGGGATAATTTTGTGCGTCAGGCCCTGGGGATACCTTTCCTTCTATGGACTCAGGACTTTCTCTGGAGAAATATTCTTTCATTTTGGCTAATTGTTGTTGCCTCTCCTGCTCTTCAGATTCCTGTGATTTGCCCGTTGGGTCTGCTAGCTCTGTCAGTCTTCTTTCTTCTCTCTGTAGTTACTCTTTCTTTATCATTTTGCTTTAACTTGAGATATTTCTTGCATTTTATCTTTCATTGTTCTTTCTTTATCTCACTCATGTGGGTCTCAGTAGTGATCCTAAAAGTCTTTAATTCATTTATTTGTTTTTCGTGCTGGTACTGGGGAATTCAGGGCCTCATGCCCTTGCTTGGCTTTTTTTTGCTCAAGGCTGGTGCTCAGCTACTCCGTTTCTGGCTTTTTGTTTGTTGGAGATAAAAGTCTTATGGACTTTCTGCTCAGGCTGGCTTTGGACCTTGATCCTCAGATCTCAGACTCCTGAGACAGTACATTAGCATAAATTGGTTGCACAAAGAGATTTCATTACAGTATTTACATACATGGAATAAATATAATGTACGTTGATCAAATTTACCCTGTCTACTCTTTTTTTTTTTTTTTTGGGTCCAGTCGTGGGGCCTGAACTCTGGGCCTGGGCGCTGTCCCTCAGCTCTTCAGCTTAAGGCTAGCGCTCTACCACTTGAGCCACAGCAACACTTCTGGCTTTTTTTTTTTTTTTTATTGCTTATGTGGTGCTGAGGAATCAAACCCAGGGCCTCATGCATGCAAGGCAAGCGCTCTACCACTGAGCCACCTTCCTAGCCCTCTTCCCACTCTTTATTGAACTTTATTCTTTTATTTGGCATACTGGGGTTTGAACTCAGGACCTTGTGCTTGCTAGACAGGGGCTCTACCACTTTGAACAGTGTCCTGAGCTCCTTTTGCTATAGTTATGTTTAAGGTAGAGTCTCAAGTTTTTGCTTGGGGTGGCTTCAGATTTCCTACCTACGGTCTCCTTCATAGAAGTAAAGCACTATGCCTGGCTGTTGATTGTGATGAGGTCTCACTAAGTTTTTGTCTGGGCTGCCCTCTGTGATTCTTCTGATCTCCAGCTCCCAAGTAGATGGAATTACAGGAGTACAGCACCACATCTGGAGTCATTTATTGAATTTTAAATCCTAGAAGTCACACTTTTCAGTATCCAGTGTTCAGTACATGTGTCTCTTGGAGATTCATGTTAATTGGTTACGTTGGCATTTGTTTTCTCCAGGAGCTGTTTCTTTAGTGTCTGGTTTTCATTCTTCCTATTTTTCTTACTGTCTGACTGCAGGACCCCTTTAAATGTATTTCTGCCCATAGGGTTCTGCTCTACCCTCTCCGAAGGGGAGATATTTTTAGGATTCTGGAAAGGACCGTGAGTTTGGCTCCTAGGTTGGTAGTGTGACAGCCAGAATTTCTCTTGCCCAGCCTCATGGTGCTGGCTCAGACGGGGAGGTGGGCAGATCTCAGTTCATCTTTGTGGCTCTGCCTTACTTTTGTCAGTAGAGGGTAAAAGAGAAGACATCTGGATGTCTGGTTGGACCTGGATGTCACTCTGACTTCCATAAAGAAATGATTACCAGGCTCAAAGGAAATTGCAAAAAACACAGGATACAGCCAGTGGTTCATACCTTTAATCCTCACACCTGTAATCCAAGCAACTCAGGAGGGTAAGATCTGAGAATAGTGGTTCAAAGCCTGCTTGGGTAGGGAAATCCACGAGACTCTTATTATCTCCAATTAACCACCAGAAAAGCCAGAAATGGAGCTGTAGCTCAAGTGGTAGAGTGGTAGCCTTGAGCAAAAATGTTCAGGGACAGTGCCTAGACCCTGAGTTCAAGCTCCAGGACTAGCACTAGCACACACACACACACACACACACACACACACACAAAAGAACAAACCACAGGGGATGGAAATGTGGCTTAGTGGTAGAGTGCGTGCCTAGCATGCATGAAGCCCTGGGTTCAATTCCTCAGTACCACATACACAGAAAAAGCCAGAAGTGGTGTTGTGGCTCAAGTGGTAGAGTGCTTGCCTTGAGCAAAAAGAAGCTCAGGGAAAGAGTTCGAGCCCTAGAGTTGATGCGCACGTACACGTGCATGCGCGCGCACGTACACGTGCATGCGCGCGCGGGCACACACACACACACACACACACACACACACAACCCCAAAACCAAACCAAACCAAACCCCAATAGCAACAAAAGGAACAAAAAACAAAAACAAAAGAAAAATAATGTAAGAATGGAGAGGTTCTATAATTGTCTTTAACAATGAAAGACATCTTGCTCCCAGAATCCCAGCAAATCTGTCTCCCAGGAGAGAGATTCTAGGACTTGCATCCCCCTTGCATAAGATATGGGATGTTGAGAAGCTGGTGAGCAATTACCTCACAGTGTGTATATGCTTACTCATTCCCTTCCATCCTTTCCTCTCTATTCCATCTACATCTTACTTCTCCCTTGGAGATCTTCTTACAACAGAGCAGTAAATAGAATGGAAGAAAAATGAAGAAAGGTTGCTTTTCAGGACAGCCAGGAGAAAGAAGAGAACCCAGCTCTCTGGGTTTCTGCTTCCTATGCAATGTGGTAGATGCTGCTGTGGGTCTTGGCCTGAGACCAAGCTACCTGTGAGGCAGTGATTAGGAAGATTGCAATTTGAGTCCACCTGGGCAAAAAGTGAGCAAGCCCCCTTTTAACAAACATACTGGATGCAGAGATACATGCCTATCATTCCACTCCTCCAGGAGGCATAAATAGAATTGCCATTTAGGTTGGCCCGGAAAAATATGCAAGATCTACTAAAAATCCAAAAGGACTGGAGACCTGGTTCAAGTGGTAGAGCATCTGCCTAGCAACTATAAGGCTTTGGGTTCAAACCTTACTTACTGGGAATAACTAAACAACAAAACCCAGCTATGTAGGACAGAGGCCAAGTTCTCTAGCCCCCTGCCAGGGCTTTAGCCATGCTCTCCCATGATGAAAAGGGCTTTGTCCTCCTAATACAAAGCTGCCCTTTCTGCACTTGCCAGGGCTGTGGGAGAGGGGAAGAGAAAACTTCACAGGTCTCTCTGACTCCAGAAGAGCTTGCACCTTTCCTGAGGCAGGAGAATTTAATGATGGAACAAGAAGGAAGGTCAAGGCAGACTGCGACAACAAAGTATTTTGGGTAAAATTGTGTCTATTCTTGGTAAATCTAAAGAAGCACTGTAAAGGAAAAAGAAAGTATCTGAAGTTATCTGTGAAAAACATGAAAGGTCAAATCCTTGCAAACCTCTGAGCTGCTTCTAGATTCTTCCTGTGGTGAGTCTCGAGCATCTTTCTAACCCCATGGTCCTTTCTTGGGAAATGACAAGAAAGTGATAGGCAGATGGCTTCATCCAGCAGAGTTCTCTGGGGTCTTGCTCTACCTAAGCTTGCACCTGTGCACCTGCTCAGGTCTTCCCTTTCCTGTACTTCCTGTGGTCTTTTTAGGGGTAGTGGTACTTTTTCCTTTTCAGAGTTCCTCTGTGTCATAGTCCATTTGGGCTGTTGTGATAACTTGGGAAGAAGGTCCCTGAGACTCTACCTCCAAAATAACCAGCAAAATGGCTGGGATGGCACAAGTGATAGAGCTCCAGCTGTAAGCAGGCAAGCTGACTATATCTGAGGACCTGAATTCAAATCCTCGTAGCAGGAAGTAAATAAATGCATCTGTACGAAACAGGTACAGACTATCCTATTTCTTGTGATTCCCTGTGTGATACAATAGGACAAACGCTCACATTGTACAGCATTTACATTGTACTAGGTAGGCATGATGACTGAAAGCCTGTGGCAGGGTGTGCCTGGGTTTGGTGTAGATACTCAGCTGTTTTACCTCAGGGGATGTCTGCAGTTGTATCTGAGGGGCTCCTGCAACTAGTCCCTCAGTAAGTATCAAAGGATAGCTGTCCCTTCCTTGACTCTGGCTTTCCCTGTATAAATGCATTCTTCTCTGGAGAAGTAGGTGAAGCCACTGGTGTCCTCTTGGGTGTCATTGCTAAGTGGATGGCATTGCCCTTGGCAGTGATTTGAGAGTGATTTAGGTGCTCGTGGTCTCTTTCAGGTGGGCTGGAGTCCAGACCTCTGGTTCGGGGCCTGCATGGTCGAAGCATTAGTATGAAGGCACCCACCTCTTCCCGAGTCAAGCATGGGCCCTTCAAAACCATGCCCCTCCGCTGGTCCTTTGGGCCCAAGGAGAAACGACCTGGTGCATCTGTGGAGTTGGTAGAGTACTTGGAGTCTCGACGGAGACCACGCTCTACCAGCCAGTCCATTGTGCCTCTGCTGATGAGTGCTGCTGGTGGGAACGAGAAGTCAACATTGCCAGGCTCAGATGTCACCCTTTCTGCTAATGGCGATGACAGCAGCCAAGCCAATGGGAGAGGAGCAGCGGGGTTCCCTTGTCCTTCAAGGTACCCAAACCACCACCTGGCCCCTGGATCCTTAGATGGTCTGAACGCAGCCAGGACGCTGAAGGAAAATGTAAGCCAGGATATCCGGCTTCCCAAAAAGTTTGACCTGCCCCTCAGTGTGATGCCCTCGGTGGGGAATGAGAAGCCAGCCCGTGCGGAGGGCCAGAAGAGTGCCAACTGGAAGGGAAGTGGCCCAGTGGGAAGCCAGAGCAGCCCATCATCCCCCTCTGTGGCTTTGTCTAGAAATATTAAGGACAGTGGCCGAGGGACCTTGCCCAAGATGAAGGCTGCTACGGAGGAAAGGGCCTCAGGGGATAGGCTCCCTCAGGGGACACTCACTCTTCTGAGGTCCATGTTTTGGAAGAAAGAGCACAGGAAGGTTGACAGGGCTGAGGGCTTGCCACCAGTACCCCCAGGGTCCCTGGCAAGTGGCAGGCTGAGCCCTGCTATGGATGGGCAGGCTCGAGGCTCATCTCCTGCTCTCAGGATACGAGAGAGCCTGATCAGGGGCTCTGGCAGCCACCTGGAGAGGGACGTCCGATCTGCACCCAGCTCTCTCCACCTCCCTCGTAAAGCTGGCAGGCCCCCCAGAGCCAGTGCTACTGGCGCCCCCCAGAGGAGTGTTCCAGGAGAGCAGACTTCTTATGGTACCTTGCAAAGGGTGAAATACCACACTCTTTCCTTAGGTCGAAAGAAAACCTTACCAGAGTCCAGCTTCTGAGAAACATTTGGGAACTATGTGAAACTGGAACTGGGCACTTGGCAGCTGTGGGAAGCCTGAGTTCAGCATGGCTTTTCTCACAAGTTTTCTTGTGAGCCCTGAAAGTAAAACTCCGCAGCTGAACTTCCAGCGTCCAATGTCCCAATAGTCCTGTGTCCAAATAACCTACTGTCTTGTTGGGTGCTTTGATACATCCTGGCCACTAGAGGATGATATCGGGTCAGTATAACCATTTCAAGAACTGATATTTTGCTTAACTAATTCCAGAACCTGAGTATTAAAAAAGAGTCTTCAATGTCATTTCAAGTACTATTACTGGCTTCTCCTTTTTTTTCCCTCCTCAAAAAAGATTTAATAGTGGACTTATACATTTTTTTCCATGAGATGCTTTTCTGGCATAAGCATCAAAGATGTCAAGAAAAGAAAAAGAGAAAGAAAGAAATGGTAGTAACAATAAAGCGAGAGTCTAGGAGAGATGGAAGGGAATGCTGATATTTTAGGAGAGTATTTAATATATAACAAAATAATTGTTTTAAAGTTTGTCAAGTTATTTTAAAAAGATAGCTATTTTGATACCAGAAAAATGACCTTTTTTTAAATAAAAAAATGGAAGTATGAGATCTATGTACAATTTTAATAAAGTTATGTTGGTGAAACCTGAAAAATATCTGAATGATTCAAAATGACCTTGCGTCTTTCATACTGAGTAGAGTGTGCATTCCTGTCATCATGTGAATTCTTTCTGAAATTTAAAAGTGCTGTTTGTTGAAATGACTGCTGTTATCTAATGAAATAGACATCTTGGGCGGTGTTCTGTCTCTAGAGGTCTTAGGCCTGAGAACCTGGGAGTCTGAGCTGTCTCATACCACGTGTTTCTTGCATCACTTTGTACAATCATTTCTTACTAAGAAAATGCTAAGCTAGAGAAGAGCTGAGGGACAGCGCCCAGGCCCAGAGTTCAGGCCCCATGACCGGAACGCCCCCCCCCCCCCCAAAAAAAAAAAAAAAGAAAATGCTAAGCTAGATCCTAGGCATGGGGCTCAACAGTGGCTGGTCTTGAACTCTATCCTTTTGCTTCAGCCTCCTGAATACTGGGATTGCAGGTATCACCACATACTTTGTCCAATTTTGGAGCAACAGAAAGAGGCAATGATGGGCTGGGCATGGTGATGCACACCTGTGGGAGGTGAAGGTAGGAGGAATGAGGTTGGAACCTAGCCTGAACAAAAGTTTAAGACTGCACCTAAAAAATAAACAAAGATAAAAGCACTGGGAGCCTAGCTGGAGTGGTGGAGCACCTACCTAACAGATACAAGGCCCTGAATTCAAACCCTAGTACTAATAGGTAGATCGATAAATAGATGAGGCAAAGACAGGATGAATGGATGGATAGATAGATAGATAGATAGATAGATAGATAGATAGATAGATAGGGCAAAGGACATTTGGGCCTTGGTAGGTCTATGTGTTATCTCAGGTCTCCAAGGATACCCACTTTTCCTTTATATCCTCTTTCTTGAGGCTGCCTTTCCCCCAGAAAGTACTGCTTGTGCAGTTTGTAAAACAGCCTGGGAAATGCCGGGCCAGCTTTCTGCCCAGATTGGAGGCATCAGGCCTGTGGTCCCAGCCTGCGAAGCATGCTTATAGGCTACGGGCATCTGGGCAGGTGATAGATGGGAGTGAGTTTAGGAAGTGTGGCAGAGGAACATGGGTGCTTTTCTGTCACAGAAATGGTCCCTTTGAGACCCGGTTAGAGAAAGGTTGGAAGCTTGGAGTCAGATAGGAGCTAGCTCTGTGTACAGCTCTGTGTGCTATTTGAGGGAGGCCATGATCTAGTGATGATAACCCACCAGTCAGTCACTCCTTACTCTATCTGTCCACTTGTGTGAAGAAGGGTTCCCAAGTCTTGGGCTAGATGTCAGCCATACTGATGATACCAGAAGCTCCAAGGGCCCACATGGTCGAAGGGCTTAGAGAAGGATGATTGGTGTGGGAATAGCTGAAGGGATAGATGTGAGCTACATCCTACCAGCTGTATGCCACTTGCACCAGCCGTATGGCATGCTGAGGGACAGGCTAGGTTACATCTTGAAGCTGCCCCCGTAAAAGCTAACAATGACAGCTGACTGGTATTTAATACACAAAGCTCGGCTGGTGTAAGAGATGCTCTAAGCACTTCACATTATTAGTTAATTTATAGCAACCCTTTGGCATAAATATGGTTATCTCTGCTACAGGTGAGGACGCTGAAGCACAGAGAAGTTGTCTAAGGTCGAACGTCTAGTAAACAACAGAGCTGGGATTTGAACACAGAGAACCCTTGCTCTGGAGTTGTTTTCCTGAATCCTTAGAAATAGGTACAGCACTGAACCTATTGCTAAAGCCAGATTACTTCTGACATCAAAATGGAGAAAAATTTTGATTCCTGATTTTTTTTCTTATCAAAGTAGAGAAAAAAAATGTGTTTGTCATATTGATAGCTTGTTCTCAGGTGCCAACAGTTGTATTTATTCTAGCAAGGAGACTTACTACTTTTGGTTATATGTCTACTTTAATGTAATTTTATGTACCAGTACTGGGGCTTGAACTGAGGGCCTAGGCATTGTCCCTTAGTTTTACTCAAGGCTAGTACTATACCACTTGAGCCACAGCTCTATTTCTAGCTTTTTGGTATTGGAGATAAGTCTCATGGACTTTCTTGGCCAGGCTGGCTTTGAACTGTCATTGTCAGATCTGAGCCCCTGGAGTAGCTAGGATTACAGATGTGAATCACCAGTGCCTGGCATTCACCTCTTGTTTGGATCATTGATATTCTTCAAATATTAACTTTTTACACCGAATTGGGGAACTGAGTGTGACAGGAATAAATTAGGATACACAGCAGGTTGGTTTCAAGTCTCTGTGGCTTTAATTTCTGATTCTTGCAGGGATGCAATTCTGCTTTTGATTCAGGCTATTTATTGGGAAAGGATTGCTACAGTGACATTTGCCTGACCCTACTGTAATTGACTCTACAAACATCTGAGGATCCATTAGATAGTAAACACTATTTCAGGCTCTGGCAGGGTAATAGGAAATAAAATAGACAAGCTCTTGCCTACAAGGTTCTTGGAAAAGACACAAAGACCTAGTAGACTAAGGTAATTTCAGATAAATAGATATAAATTTCAGGTACCACAAGTATATGGGTCACATGAGACTTGGCTAAAGGAAACCAATGTAGCAATCTGCTATTTGCTGAGACCGGCAAATTAAACATAGAGTATTGAAATATCCTCATAAAGTATCCCATTTCCACTGGGTCAGCCAAGATGCAAACTTGTGTTCAAATTCTGTTTATCACTTGGTTACCAAAAGTGCCCACTCAGGGGTCTGTATTCCTGAGAATCAGTGTCAGCTCAGACAAATGACACAGTAGGTTTTCCTAGTAAGGTTTGGGAGAGGAGTTTATGGCAGATGTGGTGGGTGGATGGGGACATTTATATCTAGCCTTCCTGTCATTTTAGGGATTCTAGATTTGTGTATCAACTCAGATCGGGATAAAAAAAGTTAAGATCCCTTTATCCAAGTCAGAGTCCTCTTCCCCTTCCTGAGAATTTTTGGTGATGCCAAGTAATTGACATCTGAATAGCTACCTGACGATATCTGGAACAAAAACCTAAGACAGCGTTCTCTGCACCATGTATCAGACAGATTTGGTTACAGGGCTCCATGTAACTGACCTCTGATATTTAACTGCTGTTCCCTAGGCTTTGCCACTTGGTGCTGCGTCTGTTTCCATCAAATGATATCCTCCTTTGAACAGGAGCCCCATCCAGCAGCAGCAGTCCTGTTTAATATGGCCACTAAGTGTTTTCTTTTTTTCTGGGGGGGAGGTGTGTGGGATGGGGGAGAGATGTTGCTAGGTTACTGGGGCTTGAACTCAGGGTTTAGGTGCTGTCCCTTAGCTCTTTCCAATCAAGGCTTGTGCACTAACTCTTGAGTCACATCTCTACATGTATTTTTTTTTTTTTGACTCAGGGTCTGCATTATGTAATCCAGGTTAGCATAAACTAATCCTCCTGATTCAGTCTCCTGAGTGCTGGTATCAGAGGCATGTACTACCTCCCTTAGCATCTAAACAATAGTTTGGATGGTTTGATTGTCCTGTAAAAAGAAAATCCCACAAATTGGGCATGGAGGCTCAAGTCTGTAATCTTAGGTACTTGGGAGGTGGAGATTAGGAGATGGCATTTTGAGATCAGCTTGGGGGGAAAAACTCCATCTTGACTAATGGCTAGGTATGGTGATGCAATTTTTTTTTGGGGGGGTCCGGTCATGGGGCCTGGGCGCTGTCCCTCAGCTCTTCAGCTCAAGGCTAGCGCTCTACCACTTGAGCCACAGCACCACTTCCAGCTTTTTTCTTTTTGCTTATGTGGTGCTGAGGAATCGAACCCAGGGCCTCATGTATGCAAGGCCTGTGCTCTACCACTAAGCCACCTTCCCAGCCCCTGGTGATGCAATTTTTGTTATCCTAACTATTCAGGGAAGCCCAAATAGAGGAGAACTGAAGTCCAGGCCAGCCCAAGTATAAAACAAGACCCTTTCTCAAAAAGAGCAATGCAAAAAGGTCTAGCAGAATGGCTCAGTGATAGATGGTAGGTACAAGGCTCTGAGATTTAACAGATAAAAATTCCCCTCCAGGCCAAAGGTGAAGCAAAATACAGCAGTGGTACTTGGTAGAGACTATGCTGAAACATGAACTATACACTTGTGGGTAGCGATATCAGGATAAAGCTGGGAAAGAGCAAAGGAAGAAGTGACATCCTAGCTACTCAGGAGGAGATGTGAGGATCGCAGTTCAAAGCAAACCCAGGCAGGAAAGTCCATGAGACTCTTCTGGAAAACTGGAAGTGGAGCTGTGGCTCAAAGTGGCAGAGCAGTAGCCTTGGGTGAAAAAGCTCAGGGACAGTGTGCAGGCCCTGAGTTCAAGCCCCATGACTGACAAAATTTTTTTTTTTAATTTAAAAAAAAACCACTCATTACTTGGCTTACAAAATTATAACCCTCTGTACACCTCTATAAAAATAAAAATATTTAATAAAAATTACTGGGCTGAGCATGTGGCTTAGTGGTAGAGTGCTCGCCTAGCATGCATGAAGCCCTGGGTTTGATTCCTCAGTACCATATAAGCAGAAAAAGCTAGAAGTGGTGCTGTGGCTCAAGTGGTAGAACACTAGCCTTGAGCACAGAGAGGCTCAAAGTCAGTGTCCAGGCCCTGAGTTCAAGCTCCAGGACTGGCAAAAAATAAAGAAATACTCTCCACACGTTTACAATAAAAATTAAAAGACAAATTACTCTACATATTAAATAATAATCTTGCTCCCACATGACTGGATTTGTGACTATTGTTAATTAGTCTTTCCCTTCCTCTAACACCTAGGAAAGTGG